ATCATAATTCCTGTGGGATGAAGCAATAATATCTGATTCTTGAAAGTACAATTTCATTAGTAATGTGGTTACAATAATTAAGAATGAAAGGCATGACGTAAAAGTTATCCACAGATGCTAGTTGTCCCTGACAAGACAAGCTGTTCTGAAACATCGTTTATATTTAACCTATCATTTCGTTGCACGACAGATGTAACAATGATTGAAAGAGTCGTAACGACGAAATAGATGCGACTTTTATGGCAAAACTATTGGAAGCTCTTTCTTGTCTTAGATTGATGTTACATGACGCGTAATGATTTAACACGTTGTTGAATAATTAAAAAAAGATGTTTTATGTACCCACCGTTTGCCTTCCACGTAAAAATTGTTTCGCCATCGGTGTAGACAAGTTTTTAATGAAATTATACCTCTTTCGCAAATATAATAACGCAAAATGTCGAAACAAGTTATTTATGCTTACTCGCGTACATGCGATATTAAATATCGATTTATGTCAACTTAATCGATAAAACGACCGCGTAAAGATAGATATAAGATAGATGTAAGAATACGATGATAAGTAACACAGATTACCTTATTATTCGATACTCCAATTAATCATAATTTCGCTACCTACTTTTTTTTTCGAATGATACGAGCGATCTGTTTCTTTAACATTTAATTGAAAAATAATTAGGCTTATAATTCAAAAGTACTATAATCATTACAACTTATATTATTATCGAGAGTAGTCATCTGTCTCTATAATTATAGAGGCTTGATATCGGGACATTAATTTTTGTATCGACTTGCACACCTGTGCCTCAAAAGCCCGTCGACCAGAAATAAATTCCTCGGACTCGCTGCGCGTAATTTAACGTGACGTGGTTCCGACTGAATGATCTTCTAAAGTTGTAACCGTGGCACCGAGATTCCTCGAGTCGGGCAAAAAAGGAGAGCCGTTATTTTTCGAGGATTCTTTTCCCAGACCACAGTAGAATGCAATCTCGCGAATACTCTCGGTAATTTTCTTTATTTCGAGATTAACATTCGCTTATTTTTTAATTTAAATAATATTATTCCATCGCTGTGACTCTACAAAGCTTTCTATAGTACATTCCATTAATAGTGGAAAGCTTTGATAGAATAGAATAAAGATGGAAATTATTAAGAAAATAAATTACTCCGATTACGAAGAACTCTCAGGCAATTTCCGATAAAAATAAATTTCATTACATTTTAACAAAAGACACGAGGTGCACAATAAATATCGCAACGTGCATTTATCCACGAACGTTTCTATGTTCACCAATTTAAATTCCGCTTAACGCCTCCTGGCCCGGGGGGAGCGCATCTGATAAGCCTACGCGCATAATTTTCAGGCTGGGAAGCCCCTCGCACCTCCGTTTCGCGGGACGCAGTGACGCGCGCATAATTTAATAACACATGCTCCCGAGCCGACGTATCTTCGCGAGAGAGAGAGAGACCTTCTCGTACTCGCGGCACGAACGAGTACACGAGGTGGGCCCCCCCCTAACATCGTGTTTGTGGAAGGTATAATTGATGCAGGACCCAGCCGGAGATCGCGTTTGCCCTTAAGAGTTTGGAACTGGGTGGAGAAAATATAGGTTGTCTTCGTTATACCCGGCCTTTTGGTGCGCGGCCTCGGTCGCCCGCGGTGCAACACGAGGATGATATATTCGCTGCAACTGCAGCTGCGCCGGGTCGAACGACGTCGAATGGCCGTGCCATGCCGCTTCGTCGGTCGTTTCGTGAGATTTCGAAATTGCTCGCCTCCGTGCCTTTTCGCCGCGCGAAAACAATGAGGCGTGCTCTCCTCGTCAAGCCGTGGGTGGACGCGTTTTTTTAATGCACGCATCCGCGCGCGCTGGACGCGTCGGGTTCATAAGTCATCTTCGCTTCTCGCTTTATCTCCGTTCCCTTGAAAACACGAGGCCAATAGTGTGCTAAGCATAATAGAGATCTTTATAATAATATTGATCGTGAGCAGAATTCAGCGACTGTAATTATTCATTTTATTAATTTTATAATGCAATTTTTATTACGTTATGGATTTAATTGTCGAATAATTCGAGTAATGTTGGAGGAAAAATGTGAAATTATTTTTCATGAAAATGATTTATAAAAATCTGAGAGATTTTTTCCTACCTTGAACGAAGGTCGTACAAAGTTTGGCGAATTTCTCGCGCGTACGAACGGCTTAACTAATTAGCGTTTTACGCGAAGCGACCGTAAAGAGGCAGCTATTCTCGCGCGTGGCTGGCTCGTACCGTTAGAACTGCGAACGCAAGAGAATTCGAAACGGTACGGAGCCTATTTACCATAATCAATGACTACGCGTTTTAGCATCGGCTATTATACTAGTCTCATTGTTACCGCGAGATTCTTGGGCTTGCTTAACAATATATATAGATTCCTGTTGCGCGATAAATTGTCTTGATATTTCTTTACGCGATGCATACGTAGATAAGGAGTAGATTAGAAGCTACTTGGCGAAACGGTCATTAAGTACACCCGTTAGATTCCAAGTGTTCATAACGCGTATCATTGCCAATTGAATGGGGCGTTGAGCAAAAATAAATTAAAGACGCGTTATTCACATTGTTAGGGCGATTAAGGATGTTTTGTATCTAAAACCTTTTCAAAATATTGAGAATTTAATGAAAATTGTACAGAATATCCTTAGGTATGTTTAGAATCTTCAGTACAATTTTTAAATCGATTGAATAAAGCGTTCACAAGTTATAAGGATTTTAATTTGCCTCGAATTAACATGTGTTCTTATGGGAAACGTATAACCATGTCAGTTCAAATGACAAAAACACATGGAAACAATATTCAGAATTTGTTTAAAATTTGCAAAAGTTTAGATACAGGGGAAATATTTGGTCAAATAATATTATACAAGTACTAACTGGTTAAAAAGATATTAAATATAATTCAATCAAGTTAGCCATCTGTCACAAGGCGAAATTCTCTGTCAAAAGTTTATCATTTCGATTAACAAAATTCGGAATATTTCAGTAAAAACGCAATAAAAAATACATCTCTGCTAAGATCAAAAATATTCCACACAATTTCTCATACTCAAAATACAAAAGTGGATATTCGTCAATATTGATTTTCAGCTACTTTTTGCTAAGATTGTACATACAAAACATCCTTAAATCTTGACTGACAAATTAACCAATTTTACAAATAATAAATAAATTAAATTAAATTAATAATAATTCGACAATTAATATATTTAAAGAATGAATAAAAACATGTAGCTATGAATCACATCATTAACAGGATAACAATCTCAGATTTATCTCATCATCTCAATTGTTTAGGAATTAGAGGGATTGTACATACAAAACATCCTTAAAACTCTGCGTCACACAAATTTCATTTGTTCAAGACCACTACGCGTGTGGCGAATTAATTTATTTTTATTAAGAAACAAATCCCTCTCATTTATAAGACGCTCGATATCGAGTCGGAATCGATCGTCGGAGCGTTGAAGATCGACAAACGCTGCCCTCGATGACAAATAACCCTCGCACTTACCCTTGGCAAGCCGGCCAATTGAACGCTATCTTTCTGAGAGAGAAGAGGGAGAGAAGGAGACCTGAATGCCCAGCGGCATGAATGCACGGCCTCGATCCTCCACGTCGATCTCGGTCCCCACCTTCGAAGGAAGGAGACCGGTCTGCCGTTGCGTGCGCGACTCGCATTACGGCGCTGAATATTTCATTCATAAGCGGGCCGGAGCAATTACCGTATTCCACGAACATGCGGAGTGAACATTGCAGGGACGCTCGTGATCGCGCTTACGTACACGCGTCGCACCCCGCGGTCGTTGCAGCCGCTATTACGGGAGATGCGGCGATCCGGATGGTGAATGAAACGCGCCCGCACCCTCCCCTTGCCTTCCTTCTCTTTGTTTTCTTCACCTCCTTCCGTTTTGCCTTCCCTCTCGCTCGTTCTCTCTCTCCCTTACCGCTCTCCTTTTCTTATTTCTCTCCGTGCTCGTCGTTTCTCGGCAGGTCGATTGACTTTTTGCGTGCCAACAAAGATGACAGCGAGGGGAGAACATCCTGCCGATCGTGTCTCGCGCGAGATAAATTTGCGCAACGAGAGCAGCTGCCGCGAGACGACGATTTCTCGTCCTGGTACGACTCCAGTTCCCAGTCGAAGATCGCGATGATGAAGAAAATCCTCGTGTGTACGCGTTGAATATAGTGAACTGAGGAGTAACGTTAACGAACAAGCGATCCGGAATTTAAATGCCACGAATTCCATTAATAATCTTACATAATGCCATGTTTTATCGGAGATAACATGCAAAGGATTAATATATTAGAAAATAAATCTTTCATCCAACACGCATGATTTTCTATTTGTTCGGAGACGAAAATTCATTTCGAGTGTTTATTTTCTGGAAAAGAGAAGTCTCAAGAATTTCTTTTGTACCTGAAAAATAGGGGATTCCCGTGAAATTTTATTGAGTCAGAAAATTTTTTTAAATTCTCTTTATAACAATTTTGCTCTTGCAAGCAATCGATAATTCGCCAATGGGTCAAGTTTAAAATATATTATGAATATATATATTTATTTCTGTTTATATATTCAATCTTAAAAAAATTTGAAATATACCATACATACTTTTATTGCAATTTTTAGTGATAAAAGAAAATATGCAAATAAAGAAAAATACTTATGAAAGCTATTCAGTTTTTTGTAGTAAATTTCTGCAAATCTTGTATTTGAGTAGTTGTGCGTTTTTCCTTTATATAAGTGGAAAGTATTAAACAATACATATAATAAAAGAAATTTATTTTAGAAAATTGGATCAAAAATCTTCTTTATTTGAAATGTTGAAAAGATCTGGAAAATTAGGGAATTTTCAGGAAATATTTTGAAGAAATTTAAATATATATAGACACCTCGTTCATTTGACATGTCTCTAAAATATACTGTTAATAACACGCTACCACAATTTCTGCTTGCAGAACTTTCGGGAGCACCGTATAGACGGTGCCGCGCTACCGCTTCTCTCGGAGAATCACCTGACGGGCACGATAGGCATGAAGCTCGGTCCAGCCTTGAAGCTGCGCATAATGCTGGCCCGAAAGATCGGCGCCTGCACGGTCTGTCTGCATTGCGCCCACTGCCATCAAACACCGCTACCGGCGCTCAGCGCGGCGGGCACGGCCGCGGCGGTGACGCAACAGCAACAGCAGCAACAACCACAGCAGCAGCAACAGCAACAGACGCCGGGCCGGCGACCCAGCAGCACCGGAAACTGACAAACAATGGCGGAGACTCCCCCACTGGGGTCCGAGACAGTAGCGGTCGTCGTGACGCCATCGTCGCCGTCTCCGGACCTGAATCGGGCCCTCAGGATAGAACGGCGCGTACCCCGTCCGGTACGCAAGCCGGAAGTCGTCTTCAAGAAGCCTATCAAACAGTGACATTAAGGAAGACGATTTCATGTATTAGGGAAAGTGGAGACTCCGCCTGTTGTCAGTGACCAAGAATTCAGAAGGACTCTTAGGTAGGAGAATTCAGACTGGAATTTAGCTGAGACTAGGTAGGAAGTGAGTAAGAAAGAGAGAGAGAAAGGGACGGAAAGAGAGAGAGAGAGAGAGAGAGAGAGAGCAGAGACTTTGATTGACATTAACGCATAAAACTAAGTATGAATTGTGAGTGCTCAAAAAAGAGATTTTTGAGCATTCGTTCGAACGTCAAGAGAGAGAGAGAGAGAGAGAGAGAGAGAGAGAGAGAGAGAGAGAGAGAGAGAGAGAGAGAGAGAGAGAGAGAGAGAGAGAGACCTGGAGAACTGTAGATTAGTAAATTAAAAATTATAACTGCGATGACAAATTATAGGACTTGAACAAGGCAAAACGATGGAGGCACGTTATTTAATTGCGTGTAGTGTAAAATTAATCGCACGCGATAAAAGAGTGAGACAAATTCAACTCTTAAGATTTTTTTAACATTTTAACTGAATGAATAATGTTTAGATAGCTACATAGAAAAATATTTTTTAAAACTCTATAAATGCGATATAACAAGTGAAAATATTGAGTAGTACAATCGCGAGAATAGAAGTTTAATTGAATCACGATCGTATATATATCGTTACGAGAATAAATTTATGACAAATATAGAATACTAGCAAAATAACAACGATTTCTAAAATATATTTGTTGATAAAAATAAAATACATTTCAAAGGACCTAAGCGGAACAATTCAAAGTTTGAGATTTCATTTTTATTCGCATCTTTAAGACTATATTATTTAAATTCAATAAAAATCATAATCAGTAGATACAATATATAAATATTTATTTTTTTTATGTTTGAAAAACAAAAATTATAAAATTAAATTTTACGAATAAAATTATGATACAAATTTTTGATAGTGTACACAATGTGTATGGTATGTGGAGGAATTTACAAAAAGATAATTATAAATCTTATGAAACTTGTTGTGATCAATATATCATATGGATTTAGTACTTAAATAGTACGTTTAAAATGTAAGAAATGTAAAAAAGTTAGAATTACTTGCTCGGCAAGTAATTCACTTTTATATTAACTTTGCTAAAAGATTGTCTTCCATTGTGACAATCACTATGTGACAAAGATATATCGGAAATGTATTTATTTAAACATTTCTATATTTAAATATTTTATATGAAATGAAAATTTTGCCATCTTAAGGAAGAGAATGCTAAATGACTATTCATGCTAAAGACTATTCATCTTATTTCTTTTTCTCTATATTAAGAAATTTTAATAGATCCAATTTTTTTATTACGATTAGGTACAGTCAATTTTTTTGATGACTTTGTTTTTTCAATAAAATTACAATTTTTTTTAAATCGAATATGTTTTACTTTTGTGAAGAAATTAAAATGTTAATAATAATTGGACGAATAATTTCCGGAGAAAATTTGAAAATGTTATTTTATAGAAGAGCATTTTAAAGATTGACGCTATTTTTAAATATTTGAAAATATCCAAAAATTATTTCACGTGTAGTCAAAATATTTAATAGCAAATTCGGCTGAAAGCACTAGTACATATTAAAGATTATTATAAATTTACAATAGCATAATTAAAATAATAAAAATGCAAATAACAATAATAATGATTAACAGAATTAATTATATTAATTATTTTTATTTGCTATTTATTTGCTTATTGTGCGAGTGCGAATTTGTATACAGTCTTTAAGTTAATCTTTAATTAAACTAATAAAATATAAATAATAAATAATAATTCGGGGAATTAATTTTATTTTAGTTATATATAATATAATATTTATATTTATATTAATATATTTGTATACGACAGTCTTTAAATGCACTAGTGCATATTAAGTGCATCCGAATTTGTTATGAGAAATTATCTATTATTTTTCTAATTCAAATAAATTTTGATATTTTAATTATCATTAAAGAATGCACTCTCTTTTCCTTAAGTTCTAAATATAAAGTATATAAATAGATACATGAAATAAATGAATGTCTAAAGATTTGTCACATTTATTTCTTCATTAAACATCTTTTTAATATTTATCTAAAACACGCGTTTAAATTTGAATATTAAAACACGAAAATTTTATTCTTCTTTTTACGATAAATATTTTAAGATTGGATTATATTCATTAAATTGTAATTGTTGTGTTTTATTTTTTTCCATCGCAATTATCGGAAGACAAATAAGTAAGCGAAAATCAACGCAAACGAGTGCCTATCTTTGTAAAGTCTTCCAAAATGACGTCGTTGATCATAGCGATCGGATTGATCACCGATACGCATTGGATTCGTGTACTATTATATATTACTCTCGATTGAAATTATATTTCTCGATCGTAATGGCCGAAGTCGTGTCTCCGATGAAACGACAATCATTGGCTTGATTTCGAAAAGAAAACAAAGAATTAAAGAGAAGAAGAATGCATGAGAAGGAGAAGTACGCATATACGCTGTACATATATTGGAACGAATGCGTTTACGTGCGAGTGCGATGTAAGTATATATGTATACAAATAAATATAAAGAAGACGATCTATAAAATTAGGGAGAATTACGTGCAATAACAATAAATACGTTTCGACGCGATAATTTTTTAACTACCGTAGGAGATACGTATTTGCTCAAATCGTTGTTTCTTTTATATATTTTAACGAAGTTTTTTTATATATATATGAACGAATTATTATGATAAAAATCTACTAAATTATATATTTTTGCTAACACTCTATGTGCAAAAACAAAATCCACGTACGAAAACACACACACACACACACACACACACACACACACACACAACACAACATATATTGACACATGCAATGTACGAACAAACAACGACAGTTTCACGTGCGATGGACTTGTATAGCTTTTAGGGAATTGTACATTAGCGTCCCACTTTTATTTTGCTCCCCTTTAATCTTCAAGATTCACAACATAAACATTTATTTATTTAGCTGTATAGTACTCGTTGCCTTATTGTATTCACATAACGATTATAAGACATAAATGATGTTGGAGGGCGACGTCAAATTGCGCTTACACGTACCATTCGTGAGAGAAAGCGAGCGTGAACGAATGAATAAATTCGTATGAGACGAGCAGTATTTTTTAGAATTATCCACACATTTATTGCAGACTATATAAACGTATGTACACACATATACACACACATACATGCAGACACACACATATTATATACATATATATGTACACACACCTAAAACGGTGTTTTTCTATACATGCATCCGCGCTCCCGAGTTTGTGTTTAGTCGAAAATGAAAAAAATAAATCACATAGCATTTCGAGAAATTCGATCATTCTATATTTTTTCATTCAACGGAAATATTCGGACGTGGCACTCGCGGTGAGAGAAGGAAATTTCATCGTATTTCCTACGGCTGATTACATAAGTCTGTTACTACTCGTAACACAAAATTACCAATGGTAATTAGACGTTGTAATCATATATCATATTCACATGTGATATTACACTCGTTCTTGCCGTATATAGAAAAATAATTGATTAAAGTTTGTTTACATGCTTATTATTTATATTTAATGATATGATATTTTTCAGCATACATATAATAATGCAATTAGAGAAACTTTTCTTTCCGTTTGTTTAACAAATGCGAGACTCATTGATTTAAAATAATATCCCATATCGGACAAGCGAAATATTTTCGGTTACATTTGACGAACTCGGGTGCGCTAATCGAGTTTAGCGGCTTTTACTTAAACGAGAAATCACTGTACATAATGCTTAAGCATTTATTTATGTCGTGCTTTTATAAATGCCCCGTAGTATTTTATTTAGTGTATTAGTCGCGAGGTTTCACAACGCTATTTAATGCGTATTACGAGCGTTACGCATTAATTATTTCGTACAATATACTCGTCTGTCGAGAGGAAATGATGAGTCGAGCAGGAAGAATTATGGCGGTAAACGATGACAGATTCTTTCTCAGCGAAGGATAATTTAATCTTATACGGATTAATAGCTAGAGTGAGATGGTAAAATCGGCGATAAGGCAATTTTGTGATATTTCAAGATTTTCTATCCATCCTTTGGCGTATTTCCTTAAAATCGATCGATTTTACGTTATGTATCCAGCCCATCTCACCCGATCTCCCTTCGACTCTTTTTATTTTTCCATCGCGAATCTGTCGTGTATTATCTTACGATTAACTGTCATATCATGTATAGTAGAAATTAATGGTGAAAAGAGGAAAAATACAGTACATTGTTTCTGTTAAAATAAACTTTGTTGAAAAATAACACGTGTATATTTTTTACAAGTCAAATTTTTATAAATATTATTTGTAGGAGGTACAAATATTGCATACATGCAACTTTTACTTGGAATAGCGAATGAGTCAGTCGACGTGATGTCGCATACATGGATATATTATTGAATTTGATAAAGCAGTAAATAAACGGAAAATGTTAGCGACGTATTTTTTAGAATCAAACGATAAAGTAGGTTAAATAGAAATTAAATTAATCAGAGTATTAATCACAACACATTCCATTGATAATTCACGATATATATATTTTATTTATAATAAACGTACAATCTTTAAATTCCCACATTTTTTATGTATAAATTAATATTATTTATACGTTTTATATATATGTATTAACTATGTCTAATTTTTTTTATAGTCAGTTTATATAAATTATATGCCGTATACATATATACATATGTATAAAATAAGTATAATATCAAAGTAATATTTTTGTAGTATCCCTTGATTTTTGTTTTGCTCATACAATCAGATCTTCATTATTTTAACTTGGACTGCAAAAAGAAATTAATTATTAAAAACTGTTATAATTAAGCTATTTTCTATACACATGATAACTATTATTTTGCAAGAAATCTTGCTGCAGACATTATTAGTATCGATAATATATTATTAGTATCGAGAATATATTATTCAAAACAGGTTCTAAATAAGATAGATATTAGCATTGTTTTCAAAAAAGCGAACTATTTATATGAGATTAGTATATATCAAATTATTAAGTAATATACGTATAACGTTATCACGTCAGTACAAGTCTAATATAAGTATTCGTAAATGCAATGGAATATTGCATTTGAAAGAATTAAACGACAAACGAAAGGCATATTTACCTCTTTATGAAAAGCGAGTACGCCGTCTTCCTCCCATGTCAAAATTTCTATGTAAGCTCTGTGATCTTCACCCACTTCCACGGTCTTACCGGTACACTTGTTGTCCTTCAAGCTTCCAGAAATGACGTCGCAATATTTACCAGGTGGCAAACAGGTAAAGAGAGTCTGCTTCAAGTCAAAGTAGTCACCATTGATTGCGATAAATCCCTTACTTCCGCGACAAAAGGCAATTTGGTTCTGGCCATTGTCCCACCAATTGTTGATACCGGTACTATTCACGGTATTTCGGAAGCCCACCATGTTGTAAATTTGACGCCACCGATGCTCGCAAATCCAGCCGTTACCACAGGTATTATCAGGATTAATAATCGGAGACAGGATGTTTCCGGCGGAATCGTGGGGCGGACCTTGGTTAAAATCGTGAAAATCGTAGGAGCTCATAACACGCGCGATCCCATAAGGATGCGCCAGCATGAAAGCGACAGCCATCTGTAATAATACGCGAGCGCTTATTGTTATATTAGCATAAGATTACAAAAAGTTGAACTTTATTATTTATTTTTACTTTTAATTTATTCTCTATTATTTAATTTTACTTTAAATTTTAATTTAAATTTAAATTTTAAATTAACAATTTAATTTAATTTTTAATTTTGTTAATTTTTTTAAAATTATACTAGCCTTGTACAATTTTGATGACTTGTAGGTGAGTATATTGGGATTGCTCCGTTGAGTGTCGTGGTTATCAATAAATACCAGGGCATCTTGCGATGGTAACAGTCCCCAAGTTTCTCCCCAACTGACGAACCATTTCAATAGATTGTTTCCTCTCAAGGCGTTGCTGATTTCCGAGCCATACCGGAATTCCGTCACCGTGCCAAAACCGATGTATTCATACTTGCTGGCTGCTTCATTGCCGTAATCGATCACCTCTTGAAATATGAAGGCTCGCGCATCCTTGTCAAAATGTTCGGTATTGAGATTTTTCAACCGAGAAAAGATGATTTTTAGATCATTCGGCCACATGTGTTTAGCCGCGTCTACTCTGAAATCCAAAAATTAATAGGATATTTTTTATATTTGATTTCATACACACATTTCGATAACTTAAGAATATTAATATTGAGATAATCATAAAGATATTTTTAAGAAACCCAATTTTCGATAAAAATTTCGCAGAATGTCGCGAAGATTTAATCAGAAAATATCGCAAAAAGATTTTGCGTACCGAAAACCGGCGACTCCAGCATCAATGGCCTCGTTCAAGAAATCGACGATCTTTTCTCTGACATTTTCAGATGTTTGGTTAAGATCATGCAGACCGACCAATTCGCAGTCGCGCACGTTCGTCGCATCCTGGTAATTGTTGATGGCGCATGGTGGCATATGAAAATCTTTTCGATCGTATGCTACTGCCGGATAATTGTAATTGAATGTATTTGCTGTCGAACCATCGGTACCCAGTGCGTTTACATGATCGCCGGTCATATGGTTGAATACCACGTCGACGTAAATTCTCACATTGGCATTGTTACATCTGTGAACCATATCTTTGAATTGCTCGGGCGTACCCGATCTCGTTTGCCAAATGTAAGATATGGGCTGATAACGCTCCCACCATGGCCGGTCGTCTACAATGATGTTTTCGTTTATCGGAGAAACCTGTATCAATTCATAGGAATTATTATTCATTCATTGCGAGAATCGACGTATTGCTCTCTTCTTTCTATATACCTTCTATGCAATAAATTTATTTCCTAGAGTAATACATTAGACGAATAAATCTATAAAAATAATTAACTGAAATAATAATTTATAAATTATTCATAAAAACAATTAACAGATAAAATTCAACGTTTTCTTCAATTTGTAATTTCCTCGACAATGTGTTTAACATGTTTTTTGAATTTTTGAATTTTTGAAATAAAAAAGGTAATACTTTTCATTCCATATCATAAGCTCTCCGGAATTTTCCTGCGATCGTTATCTATTTCTGACTCTTCTCCTTTTTTTGCTCACCTGCACTCCGCCGTATCCTAAAGGACCCAGGAAATTTTCACACTCCGCCGCAATATCTGTCCATTTCCATTCAAAGAGATGTACTATCCCATCGTGGCCGGGTGCATAATGCGGCTCTTTCTGGGCGAGCACCGCCGATACTATTGTTAACGCGTACACGAGGAGATGCATTATGCACAGTAATGTCGCGAACTATCAGTCACCGAGATATATACCGTGTCGATCGGCTTGTTCGAAGGTTAACATTGTTTTGTTATATCGATCGCACGTGATGTTTTTATCGGGAACTCCTTTGATTTGTATTGCGCCATCTTGCTGATAAAACGTGTTTATCTCACGAATCGATAAGTCACAAGCTATCTAATTAATGTACAATGATCTACTTATGCAAGTTGCATAATTAATTATGAGCTAATCAATTGATAAAATATAAACAATCAAATTGCAGCTGTAATAACATATGTGTAATAACATATGCGTCAATATGCGTTATATAACTGTTGCTAAAATAATTCGCAAAAGGTGCGAATTTAGTTTAAAGGAATTCCATTTAAATTTTACGAGAACCCCAATACTATTTGAGTAAATATACAATTTAAATGATATAAAACTTAATCTTGTTATTATACAAATTACTAAATTTCTCTTATTAAATTAATAATAAAAAAATTAAAATGTAATTATCATAAAACATTTTCACTTGTTAAAAAAATAAACCACATTGCGCGATAACTTAAAAATAAAGAAAAAACGGAGAGAAAATAAGAATGAATGCAAATATAAAGTAATTCTTTGTATTATTTAGTACGATAATAATAATAATAGATAACAGATAATAATTTTGTGTTATATATTACAAAATATTTGTCTTTTGAAATTTACATATCGCTTTAAGTGATACGATATGCCTTGACATGAAAATTAATAATAATCATAAATTTATCTCCTCTTTGATAAATACATTTATCCCATTTTTCATGTATAACATAATATTATATATAAAATAAACGTTTGAAGTGAAAATAGTGATGGTATTGCAATTTCAAAAGCTGTATAATGATTCATAGCAATTTTATTTTTACAAAGTATATCTATTGCGCATCTTTCTTTAAAACTGCATTCTATTAAAAATTGCTCACAGCCGCACATTTTTTTCATCGACAAACACGTTAATCATATACTAAATTAAAAAGTGTTATGTCGTCCAATTGTAATAGATATTGAGAAATGCGAAGGAATGTGTCAATATACGCTAAAGTTTCACAGATATGACAAAATCATCTTAATTTGCAGAATAACAACCTTTAGCTTAATCAGCTTGTGATTCTGCTGTACTATAACAAAATGTAAAAACAGAAAACATGTTTCTCAAAAAATTTATCTAAAAGAATGCTGTCATATATGAAGCTATATTCAAAATAATAAAATAAAAATTCGTTTAAAATTTCAATTGGTTTGTCCAAGGTTTGAAAAATTCTAGCAAACTTCTTTGGATTTTTTCCTTAACTATTCAAAAATCCCAATTATGACATTATATCTTTTTGCATAAACATATATTTTGATTTAAATAAATCATTGATACTGAAAAATGAGTTTTTAATTGATCTTTAGGGAGACTTTTATCTTGAATATCATATTTTTTATAAATAATACCGATACTACTTAAATAGACACGAATTGCAAAAGTATATATATATATATATATATATATATATATATATATCTAAAACACGCGTTTAAATTTGAATATTAGAATACGAAAATTTTATTCTTCTTTTTATGATAAATATTTTAAGATTGGATTATATTCATTAAATTGTAATTGATGTGTTTTATTTTTTTCTATCGCAATTATTGGAAGACAACTAAGTAAGCGAAAATCAACGTAAACGAGTGCCTATCTTTGTAAAGTCTTCCAAAATGACGTCGTTGATCATAGCGATCGGATTGATCACCGATACGCATTGGATTCGTGTACTATTATATATTACTCTCGATTGAAATTATATTTCTCGATCGTAATGGCCGAAGTCGTGTCTCCGATGAAACGACAATCACTGGCTTGATTTCGAAAAGAAAAAAAAGAATTAAAGAGAAAAAGAATGCATGAGGAAGAGAAGTACGCATATACGCTGTACATATATTGGAACGAATGCGTTTACGTGCGAGTGCGATGTAAGTATATATGTATACAAATAAATATAAAGAAGACGATCTATAAAATTAGGGAGAATTACGTGCAATAACAATAAATACGTTTCGACGATAATTTTTTAACTACCGTAGGAGATACGTATTTGCTCAAATCGTTGTTTCTTTTATATATTTTAACGAAGTTTTTTATATATATATATATGAACGGTTTATTATGATAAAAATCTACTAATTATATATTTTTGCTAACGCTCTATGTGCAAAAACAAAATCCACGTACGAACACACCCATACACACACACAACATATATTGACACATGCAATGTACGAACAAACAACCACAGTTTCACGTGCAATGGACTTGTATAACTTTTAGGGAATTGTACATTAGCGTCCCACTTTTATTTTGCTCCCCTTTAATCTTTAATATTCACAACGTAAACATTTATTTATTTAGCTGTATAGTACTTGTTGCCTTATTGTATTCACATAACGATTATAAGACATAAATGATGTTGGAGGGCGACGTCAAATTGCGCTTACACGTACCATTCGTGAGAGAAAGCGAACGAACGAGTGAACGAATGAATAAGTTCGTATGGGACGAGCAGTATTTTTTAGAATTATCCACACATTAATTGCAGACTATATAAACGTATGTACACACATATACACACATATACATGCAGACACACACACATATTATATACATATATATGTACACACATCTAAAACGGTGTTTTTCTATACATGCATCCGCGCTCCCGAATTTGTGTTCAGTCGAAAAAAAAAACAAAAAATGAAAAAAATAAATCACACAGCATTTCGAGAAATTCGATCAATCTATATTTTTTCATTCAACGGAAATGTTCGAACGTGGCACTCGCGGTGAGAGAAGGAAATTTCATCGTATTTCCTGCGGGTGATTACATAAGTCTGTTACTACTCGTAACATAAAATTACCAATGGTAATTAGACGTTGTAATCATATATCATATTCACATGTGATATTACACTCGTTTTTGCCGTATACAGAAAAATAATTGATTAAAGTTTGTTTACATGATTATTATTTATAATTAATAATATGATATCTTTCAGCATACATATAATAATGCAATTAGAGAAACTTTTCTTTCCGTTTGTTTAACAAATGCGAGACTCATTGATTTAAAATAATATCCTATATCGGACAAGCGAAATATTTTCGGTTACATTTGACGAACTCGGGCGCGCTAATCGAGTTTAGCGGCTTTTACTTAAACGAGAAATCACTGTACATAATGCTTAAGCATTTATTTATGTCGTGCTTTTATAAATGCCCCGTAGTATTTTATTTAGTGTATTAGTCGCGAGGTTTCACAACGCTATTTAATGCGTATTACGAGCGTTACGCATTAATTATTTCGTACAATATACTCGTCTGTCGAGAGGAAATGATGAGTCGAGCAAGAAGAATTATGGCGGTAAACGATGACAGATTCTTTCTCAGCGAAGGATAATTTAATCTTATACGGATTAATAGCTAGAGTGAGATGGTAAAATCGGCGATAAGGCAATTTTGTGATATTTCAAAATTTTCTATCCATCCTTTGGCGTGCTTCCTTAAAATCGATCGATTATGTTTCCAGCCCATCTCACCCGATCTCTCTTCGACTCTTTTTATTTTTCCATCGCGAGTCTGTCGTGTATTATCTTACGATTAACTGTCATATCATGTATAGTAGAAATTAATGGTGAAAAGAGAAAAAATACAGTACATTGTTTCTGTTAAAATAAACTTTGTTAAAAAATAACATGTATTTTTTACAAATCAAATTTTTATAAATATTATTTGTAGGAGGTACAAATATTGCATACATATGCAACTTTTACTTGGAATAGCGAATGAGTCAGTCGACGTGATGACGCATATATGAATATATTATTAAATTTGATAAAGCAGTAAATAAACAGAAAATATAGCGACGTATTTTTTAGAATTCAACGATAAAGTAGGGTAAATACAAATTAAATTAATCAAAGTATTAATCACAACACATTCCATTGATAATTCACGATATATATATTTTATTTATAATAAACGTACAATCTTTAAATTCCCACATTTTTATGTATGAATTAATATTATTTATACGTTTTATATATATGTATTAACTGTCTAATTTTTTTTATAGTCAGTTTATATAATTATATGCTGTATACATATATACATATGTATAAAATAAGTAGAGTACAATATCAAAGTAATATTTTTGTAGTATTCCTTGATTTTTGTTTGCTAATACAATCAGATCTTCTTATTTTAACTTGGACTGCAAAAAGAAATTAATTATTAAAAACTGTTATAATTAAGCTATTTTCTATATACATAATAACTGTTATTTTGCAAAAAATCTTGCTGCAGATATTATTAGTATCGAGAATATATTATTCAAAACAAGTTCTAAATAAGATAGATATTAGCAGTGTTTTCAAAAAAGCAAACTATATATATGAGATTAGTATATATCAAATTATTAAGTAATATACGTATAACGTTATTACGTCAGTACAAATCTAATAAAAGTACTCGTAAATGCAATGGAATATTGCATTTGAAAGAATTAAACGACAAACGAAAGGCATATTTACCTCTTTATGAAAAGCGAGTACGCCGTCTTCCTCCGATGTCAAAATTTCTATGTAAGCTTTGTGATCTTCACCCACTTCCACGGTCTTACCGGTACACTTGTTGTTCTTTACCCTTCCAGAAATGACGTCGCAATATTTACCAGGTGGCAGACAGGTAAAGAGAGTCTGCTTGAAGTCAAAGTGGTCACCATTGATCGCGATAAATCCCTCACTTCCGCGACAAAATGCAATTTGGTTCTGGCCATTGTCCCACCAATTGTTGATACCGGTACTATTCACGGCATTTCGGAAGCCCACCATGTTGTAAATTTGACGCCACCGATGCTCGCAAATCCAGCCGTTACCACAGGTATTATCAGGATTAATAATCGGAGACAGGGTGTTTCCGGCGGAGTCGTGGGGCGGACCTTGGTTAAAATCGTGAAAATCGAAGGAGCTCATAATACGCGGGATCCCATAAGGATGCGCAAGCATGAAAGCTACAGCCATCTGTAATAATACGCGAGCGCTTATTGTTATACTTGCATAAGATTATAAAAAGTTGAACTTTATTATTTATTTTTACTTTTAATTGATTCTCTATTATTTCTTTTTACTTTAAATTTAAATTTAAATTTAAATTTTAAATTAAAAATTTAATTTAATTCTTAATTTTTTTTAAATTATACTAGCCTTGTACAATTTTGATGACTTGTAGGTGAGTATATTGGAATCGCTCCGTTGAGTGTCGTGGTTATCAATAAATACCAGGGCATCTTGCGATGGTAACAGTCCCCAAGCTTCTCCCCAGTTGACGAACCATTTCAATAGATTGTTTCCTCTGAAGGCGTTGCTGATTTCCGAGCCATACCGGAATTCCGTCACCGTGCCAAAACCGACGTATTCATACTTGCTGACTGCTTCATTGCCGTTATCGCTCACCTCTTGAAATATGAAGGCTCGCGCATCCTTGTGAAAACCTTGCTTGGTATTGAGATTGTGCAGTCGAGAAAAGATGATTTTTAGATCATTCGGCCACATGTGTTTAGCCGCGTCTACTCTGAAATCCAAAAATTAATAGGATATTTTTTATATTTGATTTCATACACACATCTCGATAACTTAAGAATATTAATATTGAGATAATCATAAAGATATTTTTAAGAAATCCAATTTTCGATAAAAATTTCGCAGAATGTCGCGAAGATTTAATCAGAAAATATCGCAAAAAGATTCTGCGTACCGAAAACCGGCGACTCCAGCATCAATGGCCTTGTTCAAGAAATCGACGATCTTTTCTCTGACATATTCTTCTGTTTGGTTAAGATCATGCAGAGCTTCCAATTCGCAGTCGCGCACGTTCGTCGCATTCTGGTAATTGTTGATGGCGCATGGTGGCATATGAAAATCTTTTCGATCGTATGATACTGCCGGATAAGTGTAATTGAATGTATTCGCTGTCGAACCATCGGTACCTAGTGCGTTTACATGATTGGCGGTCATATGGTTGAATACTACGTCGACGTAAATTCTCACATTGGCTTTGTTACATCTGTGAACCATATCTTTGAATTGCTCGGGCGTACCCGATCTCGTTTGCCAAATGTAAGATATGGGCTGATAACGTTCCCACCATGGCCGGTCGTCTACAACGACGTTTTCGTTTATCGGAGAAACCTGTATCAATAGGATTCATAGGAATTATTATTCATTCATTGTGAGAATCGACGTATCGCTCTCTTCTTTCTATACCTTCTATGCAATAAATTTATTTCCTAGAGTAATACAGTAGAAGAATAAATCTATAAAAATAATTAATAAATTATTCATAAAAATAATTAACAGAAATAATAATTAATAAATTATTCATAAAAACAATTAACAGAAAAAATTCAACGTTTTCTTTAATTTGTAATAATTTCCTCGATAATGTATTTAACATGTTTTTTGAATTTTTGAAATAAAAAAGGTATAACTTTTCATTCCATATCGTAGGCTCTCCGGAATTTTCTTGCGATCGTTATCTATTTCTGACTCTTCTCCTTTTTTTGCTTACCTGCACTCCGCCGTACCCTAAAGGACCCAGGAAATTTTCACACTCCGCCGCAATATCTGTCCATTTCCATTCAAAGAGATGTACCATCGCATCGTGGCCGGGTGCATAATGCGGATTTTTCTGGGCGAGCACCGCCGGTAGTATTGTTAATGCGTACACGAGGAGATGCATTATGCACAGTAATGTCGCGGACTATCAGTCACCGAGATATATACCGTGTCGATCGGCTTGTTTGAAGGTTAAAAATGATTAATTATACCGATCGCACGTGTCGTTATCAGGAATTTTTGTGACTTGTATTGCGCCATCTTGCTTTTAAAACGTGTTTATCTCACGAATCGATAAGTCACAAGCTATCTAATTAATTTATAATGGTCTACTTATGCAAGTTGTATAATTAATTATGAGCTAATCAATTGATAAAATATAAACAATCAAATTGCAGCTGTAATAACATATGTGTAATAACATATGCGTCAATATGCGTTCTCTAATTGTTGCTATCTCAAAATAATTCGCAAAAGGTGCGAATTTAGTTTAGAGGAATTCCATTTAAATTTTACGAGAACCCCAATATTATTTGAGTAAATATACATGTTAAAATGATATAAAACTTAAACTTCTTATTATACAAATTACTAAATTTCTCTTATTAAATTAATAATAAAAAAATTAAACTGTAATCATCATAAAACATTGTCACTTGTTAAAAAAATAAACCACATTGCGCGATAACTTAAAAATAAAGAAAAACGGAGAGAAAAAAAGGATGAATGCAAATATAAAGTAATTCTTTGTATTATTTAGTACGATAATAATAATAATAGATAATAATTTTATGTTATTTATTACAAAATATTTGTTTTTTGAGATTTACATATCGGTTTGAGTGATACGATATTACATATCGGTTTGAGTGATACGATTTGTCTCATTTTTCATGTATAACATAATATTATATATAAAATAAACGTTTGAAGTGAAAATAGTGATTGTATTGCAATTTCAAAAGCTGTATAATGATTTATAGCAATTTTATTTTTACAAAGTATATCTATCGCATCTTTCTTTAAAACTGCATTCTATTAAAAATTGCTCACAGCCGCACATTTTTTTCATCGACAAACACGTTAATCATATACTAAATTAAAAAGTGTTATGTCGTCCAATTGTAATAGATTTTGAGAAATGCGAAGGAATGTGTCAATATACGCTAAAGTTTCGCAGATATGACAAAATCATCTTAATTTGCAGAATAACAACCTTTAGCTTAATCAGCTCGTGATTGCTGTACTATAACAAAAAGTAAAAACAGAAAACATGTTTCTCAAAAAATTTATCTAAAAGAATGCTATCATATATGAAGCTATATTCAAAATAATAAAATAAAAATCCGCTTAAAATTTCAATTGGTTTGTCCAAGGTTTGAAAAATTCTAGCAAACTTCTTTGGATTTTTTCTTTAACTGTTCAAAAATCCCAATTATGACATATCTTTTTGTATAAGCATATATTTTGATTTAAATAAATCAATGATACTGAAAAATGAGTTTTTAATTTATCTTTAGGGAGACTTTTATCTTGAATATCATATTTTTTATAAATAATACCTATATTACTTTAATAGACACGAATTGCAAAAGTATATTTGTACGCAATAAATTAATTTCTTTGTGTGCAATAAATTAATATGAAGAATGTAATATATTTGCATGTATTTTTATTCAAACACAACTACATTTGTGCATGTACTACATATCGATATGGTTTTGTGCTACTCGTGCAGATAAAATAAAATATTGTTTTGAAGTTTATTGACCTCGACGAGCCTCACAGTTTCGCCTGTAATCACACAAAAATCAGATAATGCTCTGTCGTATGTTATCTTTCGATTTATCGCTACTTATCATACTAACCTCTATATGAAGAGCGAGCACGCCTTCCGAGTCGTTTGACAAAATTTCAATTGAAGCCATACCATCTTTATCAACTATCACTGACTTTCCGGAGCATTTGCTGACTTCTTTGTCGACTTCTCCTGTTATGACATCGCAATAAGTACCGGAGGGCAATCCAGTTTGCAATTTCTCACGAAGATCGCCCTCGACGGTAAACGCGATGAAACCTTTGTTGCCGCGGGAGAAGGCGATTTGATTCTTTCCATTGCTCCACCAGTTCTCCAGTCGTTCACCATTAACAATATTACGAAATTTAATCATATGATAGATCTGCAGCCACCTGTGTTCGCAGACCCAACCGTTGGTGCATTGACCATTGGAGATTTCAGGCGAAATGATGTCGCCATCCGAATTTGCCGGTGGCCCTTGACTAGGATCAGTAAAAGCGAAGGAGCTCATAACTCGAGGGTGACCATAAGAATAGGCAAGCATGAAGGCCACTGCCATCTGCGAATAATAAGAAATACGTATTATTATCTTAAAGTAGAAGATCTCGTGTCTTATAGTTATCTCGAAAAATCGAATTCTACCTTGTACGGTTTTGGATCTTTATGCGTTAGAATGCTGGCTCCGCCGGCACCGTGGCCTCTCTGATTATCATGATTGTCAATCATAACTAACGCATCGGAGGAAGGTAGCAATCTCCAAGCATCTGAATCATTGAATGTTTGCAGCCTTGCCAATTTGTCCTGGCCACGGAACATATTACCAAGAATTATTCCATATTGAAACTCGATGACGTTTGCGAATGTGTTATATTCGTATTTGCTAACGGCTTCGCCACCAAGATCGATGACTTCTTGATAGATATAAGGTTTCAAAGGATTCTGTCGTTTCGAAGGATATCCATTTTTGGGGGACAGAGCTTTTGTTCTCTTGTAGATATTCTTAAGATCTTCTGGCCACATGTGTTTAGCTGCGTCAATGCTACAAAAATATTAAAATTGAAAGAAATACAATATATTTTTTAGCATGTATTGATAATAGTTATAAATTATTAAGCTACTGGAATATGTGTTTATCAGCAGAATTCACAGAAAAACGCAGAAAGATCTTTATTTATGATAATGAAAATTATTCAAATTTAATTTTAAAGAAATAACGATATTATTTTACAAACAAAAATTGCTTCTTGTGAATCATTATCACTATTACTAGTCGAGAACAGAGTGTGTGAATCGTAATTAATTCATAAGTTTTCTCAACAGGATCGTGCGCAGGATCGTATAAAGTTGCATCGAGTAACGCGAGGCTTTCCGTGCATTTTGCCGTTCTTATTGCAGATGTCTCATTACAAATGGCCGATAATTTCGAATACTTTTTATTTCGCAGGCGAGATCGGTAGCTAACACGTCTTTGATCAAAGGACAATTATTCAACATCCCGGACAATTATTTCCAGGCGAAATTATGAGGAATCAGCTCGTTGAATTAATTAACGTTATCCAATTAAATTTTTTATCGTTTGCTCCGTGAATTTTGTTAAATTTAATCGTATTCGCGATCACCTCTGTATTTGCTAAAGGTAAATTTTATTCTTCTCACTGTTGTGTCGGTGCAACACGGTGGCTAATGCACCGAAGGTCAAAGTTCATTGCAACTCGTGGAAAATGATGCGACGAAGTAGCGTTATTTATTTAGCGTTGTAATTTACTTGTGGATAACACGCGATAGTTAGAGTTAATTTATTTACGAGCTGCCGCGGCTACGTATTAATTAACCGAGTTATTTAAAACGCTCGAATCACTGCTGCAAATTTATACTTGCTGAAAAGTATATATCGGAATAGAATTTCTATTAATTACAATATCGTATTTGCGTATTGTATATAGAAATAAAAATAAAATTAGTGCCGCAATTATAAAACGGACACACATAATTTGATTCAAGTAAGAAAATGCAGATGTAAGAGATAAAATTAACATTATTACAATTCTCATTAGTTAATGAGATTATGACTTCCTTGTGCTTTCTTTATAATATACTGTCTCAAATAACATTACATTATGAATTAATGATATAATTCGTTATAATTTCATTGTTATCCGATATGTTCATAATTTCGCGCAAACAAAAAAAAAAGAATTTTGTTGTTGCCATAGACGTATATAACGTATATATATACAAATCATGTTCTCCTAATAACGCAAGCGTGAAAATTTTCGAAAATTCGTTTCTTATTATTTTATATTATCAGGAGAATATATTTTGCGAGGAGGTCGATGATGCGTTGATGACCTCTTTACAAATCATGTTCTTCTAATAACGCAAGCATGAAAATTTTCGAAAATTCGTTTCTTATTATTTTATATTATCAGAAGAATATATTTTTCGAGGAGGTCGATGATGCGTTGATGACCTCTTTACAAATCATGTTCTCCTAATAACGCAAGCGTGAAAATTTTCGAAAATTCGATTCTTATTATTTTATATTATCAGGAGAATATATTTTGCGAGGAGGTCGATGATGCGTTGATGACCTCTTTACAAATCATGTTCTCCTAATAACGCAAACGTGAAAATTTTCGAAAATTCGTTTCTTATAATTTATATTATCAGGAGAATATATTTTGCGAGGAGGTCGATGATGCGTTGATGACCTCTTTACAAATCATGTTCTCCTAATAACGCAAGCGTGAAAATTTTCGAAAATTCGATTCTTATTATTTTATATTATCAGGAGAATATATTTTTCGAGGAGGTCGATGATGCGTTGATGACCTCTTTACAAATCATGTTCTCCTAATAACGCAAGCGTGAAAATTTTCGAAAATTCGATTCTTATTATTTTATATTATCAGGAGAATATATTTTGCGAGGAGGTCGATGATGCGTTGATGACCTCTTTACAAATCATGTTCTCCTAATAACGCAAGCGTGAAAATTTTCGAAAATTCGATTCTTATTATTTTATATTATCAGGAGAATATATTTTGCGAGGAGGTCGATGATGCGTTGATGACCTCTTTACAAATCATGTTCTCCTAATAACGCAAACGTGAAAATTTTCGAAAATTCGTTTCTTATAATTTATATTATCAGGAGAATATATTTTGCGAGGAGGTCGATGATGCGTTGATGACCTCTTTACAAATCATGTTCTCCTAATAACGCAAGCGTGAAAATTTTCGAAAATTCGATTCTTATTATTTTATATTATCAGGAGAATATATTTTTCGAGGAGGTCGATGATGCGTTGATGACCTCTTTACAAATCATGTTCTCCTAATAACGCAAGCGTGAAAATTTTCGAAAATTCGATTCTTATTATTTTATATTATCAGGAGAATATATTTTGCGAGGAGGTCGATGATGCGTTGATGACCTCTTTACAAATCATGTTCTCCTAATAACGCAAGCGTGAAAATTTTCGAAAATTCGTTTCTTATAATTTATATTATCAGGAGAATATATTTTGCGAGGAGGTCGATGATGCGTTGATGACCTCTTTACAAATCATGTTCTCCTAATAACGCAAGCGTGAAAATTTTCGAAAATTCGATTCTTATTATTTTATATTATCAGGAGAATATATTTTGCGAGGAGGTCGATGATGCGTTGATGACCTCTTTACAAATCATGTTCTCCTAATAACGCAAACGTGAAAATTTTCGAAAATTCGTTTCTTATAATTTATATTATCAGGAGAATATATTTTGCGAGGAGGTCGATGATGCGTTGATGACCTCTTTACAAATCATGTTCTCCTAATAACGCAAGCGTGAAAATTTTCGAAAATTCGATTCTTATTATTTTATATTATCAGGAGAATATATTTTTCGAGGAGGTCGATGATGCGTTGATGACCTCTTTACAAATCATGTTCTCCTAATAACGCAAGCGTGAAAATTTTCGAAAATTCGATTCTTATTATTTTATATTATCAGGAGAATATATTTTGCGAGGAGGTCGATGATGCGTTGATGACCTCTTTACAAATCATGTTCTCCTAATAACGCAAGCGTGAAAATTTTCGAAAATTCGTTTCTTATAATTTATATTATCAGGAGAATATATTTTGCGAGGAGGTCGATGATGCGTTGATGACCTCTTTACAAATCATGTTCTCCTAATAACGCAAGCGTGAAAATTTTCGAAAATTCGATTCTTATTATTTTATATTATCAGGAGAATATATTTTGCGAGGAGGTCGATGATGCGTTGATGACCTCTTTACAAATCATGTTCTCCTAATAACGCAAACGTGAAAATTTTCGAAAATTCGTTTCTTATAATTTATATTATCAGGAGAATATATTTTGCGAGGAGGTCGATGATGCGTTGATGACCTCTTTACAAATCATGTTCTCCTAATAACGCAAGCGTGAAAATTTTCGAAAATTCGTTTCTTATAATTTATATTATCAGGAGAATATATTTTGCGAGGAGGTCGATGATGCGTTGATGACCTCTTTACAAATCATGTTGTCCTAATAACGCAAGCATGAAAATTTTCGAAAATTCGTTTCTTATTATTTTATATTATCAGGAGAATATATTTTTCGAGGAGGTCGATGATGCGTTGATGACCTCTTTACAAATCATGTTCTCCTAATAACGCAAGCGTGAAAATTTTCGAAAATTCGATTCTTATTATTTTATATTATCAGGAGAATATATTTTGCGAGGAGGTCGATGATGCGTTGATGACCTCTTTACAAATCATGTTCTCCTAATAACGCAAGCGTGAAAATTTTCGAAAATTCGATTCTTATTATTTTATATTATCAGGAGAATATATTTTGCGAGGAGGTCGATGATGCGTTGATGACCTCTTTACAAATCATGTTCTCCTAATAACGCAAGCGTGAAAATTTTCGAAAATTCGATTCTTATTATTTTATATTATCAGGAGAATATATTTTGCGAGGAGGTCGATGATGCGTTGATGACCTCTTTACAAATCATGTTCTCCTAATAACGCAAGCGTGAAAATTTTCGAAAATTCGATTCTTATTATTTTATATTATCAGGAGAATATATTTTGCGAGGAGGTCGAGGATGCGTTGATGACCTCTTTACAAATCATGTTCTCCTAATAACGCAAGCGTGAAAATTTTCGAAAATTCGTTTCTTATAATTTATATTATCAGGAGAATATATTTTGCGAGGAGGTCGATGATGCGTTGATGACCTCTTTACAAATCATGTTGTCCTAATAACGCAAGCATGAAAATTTTCGAAAATTCGTTTCTTATTATTTTATATTATCAGGAGAATATATTTTTCGAGGAGGTCGATGATGCGTTGATGACCTCTTTACAAATCATGTTCTCCTAATAACGCAAGCGTGAAAATTTTCGAAAATTCGATTCTTATTATTTTATATTATCAGGAGAATATATTTTGCGAGGAGGTCGATGATGCGTTGATGACCTCTTTACAAATCATGTTCTCCTAATAACGCAAGCGTGAAAATTTTCGAAAATTCGATTCTTATTATTTTATATTATCAGGAGAATATATTTTGCGAGGAGGTCGATGATGCGTTGATGACCTCTTTACAAATCATGTTCTCCTAATAACGCAAGCGTGAAAATTTTCGAAAATTCGTTTCTTATTATTATAAAATAATTATTATAAAATAATAAGAAACGAATTTTCGAAAATTTTCACGCTTGCGTTATTAGGAGAACATGATTTGTAAAGAGGTCATCAACGCATCATCGACCTCCTCGCAAAATATATTCTCCTGATAATATAAAATAATAAGAATCGAATTTTCGAAAATTTTCACGCTTGCGTTATTAGGAGAATATGATTTGTAAAGAGGTCATCAACGCATCATCGACCTCCTCGCAAAATATATTCTCCTGATAATATAAAATAATAAGAATCGAATTTTCGAAAATTTTCACGCTTGCGTTATTAGGAGAACATGATTTGTAAAGAGGTCATCAACGCATCATCGATCTCCTCGCAAAATATATTCTCCTGATAATATAAAATAATAAGAATCGAATTTTCGAAAATTTTCACGCTTGCGTTATTAGGAGAACATGATTTGTAAAGAGGTCATCAACGGATCATCGACCTCCTCGCAAAATATATTCTCCTGATAATATAAAATAATAAGAAACGAATTTTCGAAAATTTTCATGCTTGCGTTATTAGGAGAACATGATTTGTAAAGAGGTCATCAACGCATCATCGACCTCCTCGAAAAATATATTCTCCTGATAATATAAAATAATAAGAAACGAATTTTCGAAAATTTTCATGCTTGCGTTATTAGGAGAACATGATTTGTAAAGAGGTCATCAACGCATCATCGACCTCCTCGCAAAATATATTCTCCTGATAATATAAATTATAAGAAACGAATTTTCGAAAATTTTCACGCTTGCGTTATTAGGAGAACATGATTTGTAAAGAGGTCATCAATGCATCATCGACCTCCTCGCAAAATATATTCTCCTGATAATATAAATTATCAGAAACGATTTTTCGAAAATTTTCACGTTTGCGTTATTAGGAGAACATGATTTGTAAAGAAGTCATCAACGCAACATCGACTTCCTCGCAAAATATATTCTCCTGATAATATAAATTATAAGAAACGAATTTTCGAAAATTTTCACGTTTGCGTTATTAGGAGAACATGATTTGTAAAGAGGTCATCAACGCATCATCGACCTCCTCGCAAAGTATATTCTCCTGATAATATAAAATAATAAGAAACGAATTTTCGAAAATTTTCACGCTTGCGTTATTAGGAGAACATGATTTGTAAAGAGGTCATCAACGCATTATCGACCTCCTCGCAAAATATATTCTCCTGATAATATAAAATAATAAGAAACGAATTTTCGAAAATTTTCACGCTTGCGTTATTAGGAGAACATGATTTGTAAAGAGGTCATCAACGCATCATCGACCTCCTCGCAAAATATATTCTCCTGATAATATAAAATAATAAGAAACGAATTTTCGAAAATTTTCACGCTTGCGTTATTAGGAGAACATGATTTGTAAAGAGGTCATCAACGCATCATCGACCTCCTCGCAAAATATATTCTCCTGATAATATAAAATAATAAGAATCGAATTTTCGAAAATTTTCACGCTTGCGTTATTAGGAGAACATGATTTGTAAAGAGGTCATCAACGCATCATCGACCTCCTCGAAAAATATATTCTCCTGATAATATAAAATAATAAGAATCGAATTTTCGAACATTTTCACGCTTGCGTTATTAGGAGAACATGATTTGTAAAGAGGTCATCAACGCATCATCGACCTCCTCGAAAAATATATTCTCCTGATAATATAAAATAATAAGAAACGAATTTTCGAAAATTTTCATGCTTGCGTTATTAGGAGAACATGATTTGTAAAGAGGTCATCAACGCATCATCGACCTCCTCGCAAAATATATTCTCCTGATAATATAAATTATAAGAAACGAATTTTCGAAAATTTTCACGCTTGCGTTATTAGGAGAACATGATTTGTAAAGAGGTCATCAATGCATCATCGACCTCCTCGCAAAATATATTCTCCTGATAATATAAATTATCAGAAACGATTTTTCGAAAATTTTCACGTTTGCGTTATTAGGAGAACATGATTTGTAAAGAAGTCATCAACGCAACATCGACTTCCTCGCAAAATATATTCTCCTGATAATATAAATTATAAGAAACGAATTTTCGAAAATTTTCACGTTTGCGTTATTAGGAGAACATGATTTGTAAAGAGGTCATCAACGCATCATCGACCTCCTCGCAAAGTATATTCTCCTGATAATATAAAATAATAAGAAACGAATTTTCGAAAATTTTCACGCTTGCGTTATTAGGAGAACATGATTTGTAAAGAGGTCATCAACGCATTATCGACCTCCTCGCAAAATATATTCTCCTGATAATATAAAATAATAAGAAACGAATTTTCGAAAATTTTCACGCTTGCGTTATTAGGAGAACATGATTTGTAAAGAGGTCATCAACGCATCATCGACCTCCTCGCAAAATATATTCTCCTGATAATATAAAATAATAAGAAACGAATTTTCGAAAATTTTCACGCTTGCGTTATTAGGAGAACATGATTTGTAAAGAGGTCATCAACGCATCATCGACCTCCTCGCAAAATATATTCTCCTGATAATATAAAATAATAAGAATCGAATTTTCGAAAATTTTCACGCTTGCGTTATTAGGAGAACATGATTTGTAAAGAGGTCATCAACGCATCATCGACCTCCTCGAAAAATATATTCTCCTGATAATATAAAATAATAAGAATCGAATTTTCGAACATTTTCACGCTTGCGTTATTAGGAGAACATGATTTGTAAAGAGGTCATCAACGCATCATCGACCTCCTCGAAAAATATATTCTCCTGATAATATAAAATAATAAGAAACGAATTTTCGAAAATTTTCATGCTTGCGTTATTAGGAGAACATGATTTGTAAAGAGGTCATCAACGCATCATCGAGAATATATTTTGCGAAGAGGTCGATGATGCGTTGATGACCTCTTTACAAATCATGTTCTCCTAATAACGCAAACGTGAAAATTTTCGAAAATTCGTTTCTTATAATTTATATTATCAGGAGAATATATTTTGCGCGGAGGTCGATGATGCGTTTATGATCTCTTTACAAATCATGTTCTCCTATATATGTCTATGGTTGTTGCTGCGAAACGACATATTATATTCAAAAATCAATATTTAAATATCAATAATTATCAATAATTAATAAATATCAATAATTTTCTATTTTGTCGATAAGACAAGAAAATCTTGTTGAATAAATTTGTAACAACATATAAATAAATTGAAATAGAATAATCCATCTCTATATTGTAATAAAATGATCGTTTTGATATCAAAATAATCAATCTATATTATTAAAAATAATATGAATATTATAAATAACGTGCATAAATCGAAAAATACAATTTCAAGTATCGTAAGCAGTTTTCGCAATCTACGTATTAATTAACGAAATTTGCTTCGACAGAATAAAATACGCTGCGCCAGAGCAAACTCGTTTCTTTTGCGCACGCATCGTGACTTTAACGCACTTTTATACCCGTCAAGATTTCTTAATACGCGCGATCATGCCACATTCCTTTTCGAAATATGCGCAAGACATTCGCGAGATGCGGGGTCCCCGTAAAAGACGACGTCGCGCCCCGTTATCATTCCCGACGCGCATATCGCTCTTGCGCTTGTAAAGCCCCCGGTTCGGTACGAGAGATGGTACGATTTCGCTGCGGGTTACAATTACGAGCGAGATGCGTAATTAAAAGCTGATGTCTCTCATTTATTAATGCTACCAGACGAGTCGGACCTCTGCCGCGCGGCACCGCTCTCGTCCGGTTTAATGTTAAACATCATCAGTCTTCGGCGCATCCTTGATGCAGAGGAAAAGAGGAAAAAAAGGAAAAAGAGAAACGGGCGGTGTTGCACAGAGCGCATCTCACGAATTTACACTTCACGCATAGTGAGAGAGCCGGGAGATTTTATGTCTCATTCACATATATATTATATATATATTTTTTTTTCTTGCTGTGAAGGAATGTGCATCTATCGTACATTGATGTTGCGTGCAGATAGGAATTATCGAAAAGCGTGATCGCAAATGTTGCAAATGGTTTAATCAATATTATGTTTCCTTAATTAAGCTCGGACTGATTGCAAAAAATTACGGATGATACATTATCATAGAATTCGTTATCATTTAAAAGCATGTCATTGAAAAAAAACAGCTGATATCTCCTAAAATTCTTTTATATAATATTTTCCAAGCTCGAATAATTTTTATAAAGGACATCAATCCCCTATTAATGATTCTTAATAAAAAAAGGAATTATACTGCAAATATATAGTAATTAAATATAGTTACCGGAGGCCAGCGATTCCACAATCGATGACTTCATTTAAAAATTTAATTATTTCCTTCCGAACGTGTTCCTTGCGTTGATCGAGATCATGAAGGCCGGACAGTTCACAGTCTCGAACTTCGGTGGCATTGTTATAATTTTGTATTTGACATGATTTATGGAAGTCTTCTGGGCCATATGGAACTGCCGGATAACGTCGCTGTTCCGGATCTGCTGATGTACCACCAGTACCGTACGCAGGTTGTGCGTCCGCTGTCATGTGATTAATTACTATGTCGACATATATCCTCACACCAACTTTGTTACATCTCTTTACCATGTTCTTAAATTCGGTTTTATTTCCGGATCGGCTGATAATCTTATAGGAAAGTGGCTGATATTTCTCGTACCAGGGTCTATTCTTTATTACGAGATTCTCATTTATAGGAGAAACCTATAACCATTTATAGAAGAAATTTTGTTTTATAAATGAAGAACAATATAAATTTGATATTATATTTTTTTTAGAATATAAATGATACAGGTTTTAGAACTAAAAACATCATTGATTCTAGTTTCATAGCCATTTTTCAAAAATATATATACTACAAATTTTATGTGAATAAAAATAATTCTAATATAGAGAGTAAGTGATACGGTTTGCGTTTTTTATTCTTTGTTTAATTCTTTCATTTTATTTGTTTTCGAACTATTTGCATTCATTAATAAGTTCATAAATAATTTGAAGAATAAAAATTTGAAGAATAAATCAAGAAAAATGTAAAAAGAGCACCCTGATGTTGTTATTAAAAGATAATATAAAAATGTTTAAATGTCTTATAAACTTTCTTTTTTCAAACACTTCATTTTGATATTTTTATTTATTAATATCTAAAATTTCATACAATAAAAATAATTCATTATACATACTTGTACACCACCGTAGCCCTTTGGACCAAGGAAATCCTCGCATTCTTTGGCGATATCGTTGAATTTCCATTCAAACAAGTGAACCATAGTTGTTCTGTCACCCACATAATGCGGATTCTTCTGGGCGAATGCGATCGCCAAGAAAGACGTAAAAATTGAAGTGAAGAATAACATCGTGATGCTAAACTTGAAACTGCATGTATTGAGTTTCCACGTGCTCTGACTGACAATTTATAGAAAACTTTTGCGCTGTGTGTGATAAAATTTTGTCATTTACACGATTATTTATGATGATGGATGGTGATGCGATAATGTGTATCATTAATTAATATTAATGGAGCAGTCGATAATGCCATTACATTTGTCATTCTTTTTCTAAGGAAGTGACATTAATTATTGACGGTCAAGGTAATTTACGATGCAAATAACAATTGTTACGGTTCAATATTGAAAAACGATGACACACAACCGTATATCGTGCGCAAACTTTAGAAAATAGTGCGAAAAAACATATTTGAATTACATTACATAGGACTTTTTCATAAATGTTAGTGAAATTTAAGTAGACTTTATTTGTCTTTAAATATTGTTCGTATAATATCATAGTAAAAATCATTAATTCAATTATATTCTTTTTTCGATAGCGTCTGATGGCTACAGCTATGATCAGCGGTCTTTTTAAAAGGCCATTAACACTGACGCGACTGCTTCAATAGCAGATGGCACGATTGATAAATCGGGACAGACTAAATCTCGCGATATTTCATATCATAAGCATAACCGGGATGCTGGAAAGATAATTATTTGCGATGCGCCTGCCATCTGACGCTCCTAACGAGTCGAATCGATCAGGAAACAACAAGGTTTCAGAGGCAGAGGCACGAGTGCGAAATGTCACAATAATATTCATCGATCTTTTTGACGTAACATCTATTGCTTTTTATTTCGAATTATTTGTCTGCGATTTATCATCTCGTTGACCGGTTCAGCATTTGCCACGCGAGTCGCAGAAACACGATGAAGCAAGTATAATAATGTAATCTATGTGTTAAGCGAGTTACGCGGGATTTTTACGCAAAAAAATACCGTGAATATCTTTGTAGACAGCAAGCACTGACAGTGGAACCTGCAAACTCTTTTTGTAACTTTAAGAATTTTATTCTTCTTCTATTATATGGATATTTAATTATGAATATCCACAGATGCTTAAAAATTATGAGGTAAAATAAAGAACTTTTTGACATCACGTCTTGTTTATTTATACTTGGACTGACTTGGCTACGGTATATCACAGTAGTTGATAGATCGAACTTTAGATAGAATTATATCGATCGCCAGCGAGAACTAGTGGTTTGAACTTTATACAATTTCATAAAACTCTGTTTCTCTCTTTCTCTATGTTAGTTTTAATTTTTAAGACGAAAATATATACGTATATTTGTTATATAAGATACACTCTCTTGCTAAAAAGGGGGAAAGGTATGTATACAAAATTAGACTAAATATATTATTTCTTAATTAATATATAGGATTTAAACTAAAATTACAATATACAATATTACATGTTAAACTGTAACAAATTAAACGAAGAAATTTTCTTTTATGTGTGCGTTATTATTATAAAATAAAGATAGATATGGAAGGTTAGCGAAGATAATATTGAATTTGCTAAACATGACATAAACCGGTATGATTATCGAAATCGCAAATTAAATAAAGAAACCATTAACACGTTTACTATCACTAATTATTCCGTTTATTTTCGCCAGAAACATTTTATTTTAGTTTTCTTAAAAAGTGATTTTAGTAAGATATAGTCATCGCGACAGGATGTATAAAATTTTGGGTGTTTAAAAGTGTCGGTACAAGTAGTATAACAAACGCAAAATATTTGGACGCGCCTGCGCGTCGGTGACAGTGAACATGTTAATTAATTGAAGTCATCTTAAACGAGCGAAAATAATGTTTAATGCTCCGTGTTACATTTAACTCGATTGCATTATTGATTAATATTATAATGATTCACGCTATTAGGTCAACGATATTATATATATATATTTTTTTACATATATATCTTACGTATAAAACAATAGAAATATCGCTGCGCACAAACAGACAATGGTATAGACAGATAAATGTGTCCCACACTCATAAACATGTCGTTGACACCTACGCAATCAAGCTGCGAATATGCGACAGTAATATAACATTACCAATAGTGACAAACACAGCTGCGTTTAATGTTTTACACTCAACTGCTGTTGACGTCTAGCGTTTCGATCTATGTGTTCTGTATTAAACTTTGTTCCAAACTGAAAGTGCCTTTATATCTCTCTACCTGACGACTGATTTTCAAACGTCTTTATCAAGAATACACGTGTACGCGTGTAAATAATAAATCTTTAATGTGTTTCCTTTATTTACAACGGACTGAAATATAACTTATTGTATATAGTATCGCATGCAATTACATCTAGTTAAACACTACGGCAATAGCATTCGTTTTAGCGAAATTTATCTGGCAAGTATTCAGACTTCTGTTGTTTATCCGGATCATAGCTTTGCTACGATCTCCGATTTCTGATTATTGATAGTGCAATTGAAAAAATGAATTTCTTACTAGAGTCGAGTACTAATGTGTGTTTAGGAAAGCGTCTACGGCAACATCAAGCTCTCAAGTTCTCATTCGTTAGTGTCAGATCGCCGTCCACGTTGTCCAGAAATGACACGGAATTTATTCCGCATCTTTTGGCTACGTAGTATCAGATCTAGTTTTAACAAGCGTAAGTAGCATTTCTCTGAGATTGTTATTGTAACCACATTTTGAATATGTCCTAGCGAAAAGTTCGACAATAATGTGGTTTCGTTGATTAATAATAAAAATGTTAAATAGAATAAGAATTCACTAAGAAATATTAATGAAAAGTTTAGCACGAGATTAATGACAGTTTGTATAGTTCCTGACAAATTGGAGACAAAAAGTAACATAATTGCATAAAATAAATGATACGTAAAGGGATGTAAAAGCATATAAATAATAAATTAATACATCTCCAGACGCACACATCTCATTCGATTAATCGTGTATTCGCTTCGATTAATTATGATGCATCCGTTTGATTGAACGATACTATCAAGTGCCTGTCAACGATAGAGAAAGCGTAACGAACGAAGCGACGGATGCATTTTCGTGTACATTGCACACATATTTACGTTTTTGCACATATTTTACGTTTAACAGATATATATATTTTTTTCCCTGCAACAATAACACGAGCGCGATTGTCATGACTGTCATTCCCACGACCATGGGATCAATCGAGCCTAGTGGAATCTCTCGATTCGTGACATATCTGGAAATAGCTCATCTCCACGGTCGAAACGCGACACCGGATAACACTGTTGAAACTTCTCTCGCCTTCGAAATCGAGAAGCAGCTGAATATGCGCACGTCGTTTCTGCGCCGTTAAAAATACTCGAGGATTAACGATACTTCCTTAAGACATAAAAGATAATTCCGCGCAGGACGCGGACGCGCCTCGATATCTTTCAACATGGATGGAGAAATCGTAGAGCCGTGTAGACGCGAGGTCGTTCGAACATTCAGACGAAAGCGACGAAACGAATCATCGGAATTTAGAATATGTGCGTTTTGTACAGCCAGACGAGATTCCTACGGCCTTCGTGCCTGAGCACTATCCTGATGTAAAGTCCACCCACCGCCTCGAGCGATCGAACCCCCGGCTGCTCCTGCTGCGGTTGCTGTTGTTGCGATTCCTCCTTTCGTCGTTGCATCTTTTCATCATCTTGCGTCTCTATCTTCTGCTCCGCGAGCGGTTCCTGACGCATCTTCTCTACGGGCTGCGCTTCCTCTTCCTGTTTACGCAGTCGCTCTTGCTCGCTGTCTTCCAGCGGCTGCGATGGTTTATCTTTCTGTCGCGACTGCTTCTCATCCTCCTTTTGACGCTCTTCATCTTTCGATGGTACTTGTTGCTCCTCTTTCTTCGGCTGCGTAACCTGTTGCGTCTCTTGTTCCTTTTCGAATTTGTCTCGTAATTTGTGCTCCTCTTCTTCCAGTTTCTTTTGCAACTGCTGCTCTTCTTGCTCCAGCTTTTGCTGCAACGCCTTCTCGTCTCGTTCGAGTTTACATTGCAATTGCTGCTCCTCGTGTTCCATCTTTTGTCGCAATTTTTGCTCTTCCTGTTCCAGTTTACGCTGCAATTGCTGTTGTTCTTGTTGAAGCTTTCGTTGTTCCCTGTCCTTCTCTATTTTCTGGCGTACCTGCTGCTGTAGATGACCCGGCTCTTTTCGTTGTAACTGCGCATCTTCCTGCTTTTGTTCCTGCTGCGACTCTTGCGACCGTGGCTCTTGCTCCACCTGTACCTGGACCTGAAGCTGCGACTCCTTTTGCTCTTTTCCCCGTGCGACAATATCGTCCATCGGCGCCGCTCCTTCGTCGGGGCCGGAAATATCCTCGTTTCGTCGAGGCTCGTCCGAAACGGCCGCGATTAATGCGGCCGTGGCCAGAGGTTAGTTGCTACCAGAATGCTGTTTTTGATCCGATCCGGCGTCGGAGCCGCTCGAGCTCAAGGTCGTGTTGCTGCCGTACGGATCCAGCGACGATTGGACCGACATACTGCGACCCTGCCTTCTCACTCTGTGGGGGGAGAGTTTCCTGGGGTCGACACTGGTTGGGTCTGCCTGCAACAAATTCCCTCATAAAGAAACCGATCGCATCGCAAGTCCAGAGTCCTTATAACGAGTTAATTAAAGTAAAAAATCTTTTTTTTTAATTTAAAACGAAATATATGGAAAAGCAACGCGCACCTGATAAGCCAATGCGTTCATGATGATTTCCGGAGGCACCAGTCCCAACGGATTCACCTCCTGCATCAGTACGGTAGCCGGGATCTTGTGAAACTGGATGTACTCGATAAAGTTACCTATCACGTCTTTCAACGGCGTATTTTGATTGTTGTCGCAATACTTTTTACTCCACATTAGCGCTGCCTGAAAATGAAGTTGAATAGTTTTGGCGAAATATTCTGCGAGTAGATTGATATAAAATGACGTCATTGTGTTATTTATTTACTTGAAATTTCGTAAATTCATCTGCACGTAGTTCTTCTCTGGCAAGTATCAATCGGACAACGTGTTGCGGCAGTAATGTGAAGGACCCCAGATTCAACACTTCGTTGCCGTGTTCATCGACAAATTCCAGCACCTGCGTGAGATCCACAATAATATACAGTAATATATGCTGAATATACATATAAATAATAACAAATTAAGATTAGAATTATTTCTGAATTCTTTTTACAAACTTTTAATTTTTTTCTACATACATATATATATGTTGTAGAATTTTAAAATTATTAAGAAATATACTTATGTATTAATTTATAAGACACTTTTATAAGACACTTAAATTCGATACTTAAAATTTATAATATATTGAAAATATTTACGATTGTGGGCAAATTTACCCTTTGCACCAAAGATTTCGTGCATTTATACTGAATATAGCGCTCTGCCGATGCTAATAAAGCGCAGACCGTATCGACGGTTATACAGTATTGAATGAAACCATGACAGGCTTGTTTAAGCTCCTCCAATCCGTAATAATCGGCGGCATTCATAACACCTGCGGACATAAATTATTATCATATATCGTTTATAAATCACTGATCAATTTCGAAGATAAAATACTCGGCGTATCTCTTTTTAGTATATAAGGTTATCTTTTACAAACTTCCACTTTTTCTCAAGTATTTAGATCGCAAATATCGGATAAGATACAATGATAAGAAATAGTCAATAATGATTAATCTCTATGCGGCAAATAATAGACATTCTAATTGGCTTGTCAGGCTTACTATAATAATGAATTGATTACCAAGCAAAGTCCTAGGCTGTAATGTCACACATCCCGTGTGAATGTACTCGATCAGTTGCCGGAAGACATCGGGCTCGAATTCCTCGATAATCAGCGTGTGATGCTGATTCGATTGTGGCTACGATACAAAAATAAAATGCAAATACCTAAATGAAGAAATAAGAAAGGTTGAGAAGCTTAAATCCCGTGCTAAGCAACTTGCATGGAATTTCGTAAGGATTGATAATAGTAAATCAAATTTACTAATTATATAGTGAGAGGTGAGATATTATAGCGAGGAGACATTATATAATATTTTCGCAAAATTAATTTTGGTGCCACAACTACTGTGCATTTAACATTAATAAGATAAGTAAAAGTGTATTATCGTCCAACTGATCGAACCAGCGAACATATTTAGGTAGGTGTATTATTAATTGTAATTTTTTATATAAAGATATATTATCTATCTCTATCTCTTTGTTCACAATGCTGAAAATTATAATCCAAAATCCAAAATCTATGCAATAATATTTCTAACACTCACGATTCGTTCACTTGGTTGATTTATAAAAGTGAATTATCGCCAATATATGTGAACATAGTGAATACTGTAATCGTGCCAATCTACAACTACAGTGGATTTGGTGATTACAATAATACAATTTAATCGTTCATGCAAAAGTCCAAAGTACAGAATTAACGTATTTAATCATAATCGTGTGAATTTTATCAGATATTCGAGCACTCTTGATGATTGTGTCGCTCTTTGACGCGTAAAAGAGCAACGGAAATGGGAAAGAGTGTTCCATTAAGTAGAAAGTCAAGCTGGCAAACATTGATTTGTCAACAAATCTCAAATAGTCTCCTCTATTAGTTTCTAAAGAGTATCAACGAATACAAAATTACGGAGTTCGAATTATGGAGATAGAATTGTGATTACAAAATGCAGTGAGCAGAAAATTGCAGTTGAAAAATAAAGAGGGCGAGATATAGAGACATCGATGGCGTAGATTAGAGATGAGACGGGAAATGACGTAGGAAAATTGAATAGGATTTCGATCAGTGTAAAATTATACGTAAAAGTGACGTTCAAAGTACCTCTTGAATGGGGGCCAGTTGCTGCGTGAACCCTGACCGCTACACGACACATACAAATGCACGCTTACTATTTCTATCCTGATAATTAATTTTCGATTGATTGGCCACGATAAATATGCAAAGTGTTCCCAAAAAAGAAGCGGAGGAATTATCGCTTTACTAAAGTATATTTAAATTTTAATAATTGAGAGAGACGTGAATAATTATATTATATATTATATATTAATTAATAGATCATCAGAATTTAGAGAGAAGTAATTTTCATTAAATTAAGAGAAAGCAATAAATTTTCATTAAATTAAAATTCATAAACTCAAAACAAATACAGTTAATATAAATAATTATTGGGGCGCCTTGTACATTACACGTGTTTGCCTGTCATATCGAAAAAATTGTTCATATTTATTATATGCATGTGTTATTTACAAAACGACTATAATCTCCTGAACTTTGCAGTTATATACACGCATACTGATTTTAAGAAAGAAAAAAAATTATTCAATAAAAATAAATATATATAAATATATACATATATATTTATATATAAAACATTAAAAAAGATTTAAATGGAATTTAAAAGAAGACCTATCTTTTCTTTGTCTTATGAAATACATTACAATTGCGTTGCTATAACGCAATCAGATTATAAGTGAAAAAATTATGCATTATCTTCTCTGTTAAGTACCTGCTGTGCCGCGTTCTGTAAATTCAGTAATGGCTCGGAGCTACGCTTGAGGAAAAGTCGAATCTTGTTTTCTCGCGCCGGCGGTTCCTTTTTACGTTGTGGACTCGGAGTTTGATATAACATTTTGTGAAAGACTCTGCAGAAATTATAGCAGAAAATCACTATTACTCGTCATCGTTCTCGTATATCAATTCAAAACTATTCCTTACAAACCTGCTTCTGGCCGCAAGCACAGCCTTCACGGCGCAAACGGGCTCCCTCGTATCGCCGACAAGAAATGTTACGTCGCAAAGTTCTGGCATACTCGCCAAGAACTTCATATCATCGGCCAGGCCGGTTTTATTCTCGAAAGTCGAGTAATCCTCGTCGGCCACTCCTGATCCTGAAGCCTCCGGCATCGGGCCCATATCTTCCTAGTTTTTTTTTCAGAAAGAAGATGAATAAAAATTCTTGCCAATTATTCAACTTTAATCATTTAACTTAATATAATACAATATAATAATTTATATAATATAATGTAATAACATTTTTTAATTTAATATAATATAATAATATTTAACTTTAATTCTGCATTATATATGTATTATTTATCATATAAAAAGTTATTTTTAATTCTGCATTATATATATATATATATATATATATATATTATTTATCATATAAAAATTATTTTTATTACGATAAGTATTAGCATTTACATTTATTTATCCGATATAAAATAACGTTTATAAGCGAAAAATTTATTCAATAATTATTATGTACACAAGGGTAGTGCGCAGGCTTCGATAAAAATACCATGGCCTTTTAATATATTACATATGAGGGGAATGCGTAAAAAATGACGCCTTCATCCATAAATTATTATTCAAAACAGCAATCTTTTTATTTTGCTTTATTTACTTTCCACCTTTATGAAATAATCTAATTTAAATATATTATTTTCAAGACATTTAATGTACGTTGATTGTAATGTGTGTAAGATTTTTTTTATATTTTGTATATGCTATTAATAAATTCTTATATTAAAAATTTTTTGTTGAAGTTGTACAACATAGCATTTTTATCAAGAAAGAATTCGTGAAACGTATCGATAAAGTTTTTCTTGATGATAAGATATACTGTGCCTTATATAACGTGATTATTATTTGCGTAGTTAGTTCACTTGATAAGAGAAAAGTTCGTTATCAGTTCGTTTAGAAATATAATGTGTGCATATGCTTCGATCCAATGTGTCAATTCTATCAATAATACTTTGCACCTAATTGTTATCTATTGTCGTCATCTTTCAAACGATTGATCGAACAATGAAACAAATAATGAACGTTTGCAAAAACATGTCTGGAAAACAGACTTATTTATACATAATATATTAAATATATATATTTTTACGTAGTATATTAAATATATACTTTTTTATATTGCTTTCTCTTTTCTTCAATTTTATTTTCTTAATATATTATATTTATACATTTTTTGTGATATTAAATCTATCTCAAAGAATTATTATTTATTAAAAAAAATATGAATATAAGCACTTTGTTACATTGCTTAATAATATCAGAATTAATTCTTTTTATATCGAGAAAGATATCTTATATAAATTAATATTTAATTAATCTAATTATCTATAATTATTAAATTATTTTACTTAATAACAATTAAATTAATAATTTCAAATAATTATGTAAGTAATAGAGAATGACGGAAAGAAAATAGCAACGAATGTTCAAGAAAAAGTAAATAGGAAAAGTGCTCCGAATAACATAAAGCAAAGTGTATGTTACCTGTTGCTTTGGTCCCGGAGCCTCTTCGCTTGCCGGGCTGCTTTTGCCCCGAAAAAACACTTTTAACTCACTTCTCGAATATTGTTGTTAAAATCGGTCGATCGTTAGCTGAATCGAATACGCAGGGAAAAAAAAGGAGAAATTAGTCGCTAATGTAAAAGTTACAAAACTCTCGTAGCAAAAATAAATTAATCATTTAATATCATTTAATACTACATCATTATAAAAAAAAAGAGCTGAAGATGTTTTCTCTGTCAATATTTATAACACGTTAATTGCAAATATACCGCGATATAATTTCTCGTAAACTGGGAAGCAAAACTGTGAATGTTGTGTTTTCAAAAATTAAAAATGTAAAGATAATCGAGTATCAATTTGCTGAATAATATCAAGATAATTTCAAATAAAAATTAATAAAAATTACATCGGAATTTATTTATCGGAAGATATTTTAAGATCGTGATGCAAATACCTAGAGATCTGCCGTATCGAGCTTGGGGCAATCGACGTCGTGGGATTGATCGCGGGGCTTCCCAGCGCGCGGAATAAAGCTCCTCGGAATGAAAGCTACCACTTTGTCGCGGAAGGGAAACGATTTGGCTCGTAGGAGACGATGTACACGAACGTCAGTTCCGGCTGTCGTCTTCGTGCTCGATTCGAGGAGGTCTGGACGCGTCGGAGGTTGGATTCGTGAATGGGTATACGATGAGAGAGAGAACAGGGCGAAGTCTCCAGACGAGCAAAGAGCCGAACAGATGCAGAACTTCCTGTCGACGAGGCGGGGGTGGCATCGCGGCGCCTGCGTCATGTTGGGGTGCCGACGACGCCCGCTTCTACGCCGGCTCGACCCGGAGAACCTTCCCTCGACCGAACAGGATAGTGTCAAGCGAGATGGATATCCTTGGGCCGAGCGATTGATCAGATATCGCTTTGTACTGTTTGTACTATTTGTACATTTGGTATATTTTCAATTTATTCGTGCCATTCTTTTCAACTTGTAACAATGCATTTGAAATTATATTTAAATTGTATAGTTATGTGCATGTAAATTTTAGGAATTTTGATCTTGTTGAATTTTTCTTCTCATGGAATGCTAATAGCACGTGGAAGTTAATAATATGTATCTTGTATACATATTACACTATTATATATTATATAATTGTATATATTTATGTCACCTACATGAGAGGTTTTTATGCACAGTCTTACGATTTTAATTTTTCTTTAGATTTTGTAATTGTCTTTTAGTGGGGATTTTTTTTGTAGAAAATAAAATTTCGGATAGTGTTCATCAGAAATAGATGTAAATAATATATTTTAGATACGTAAAAAATTCAAAATATCTCTGAAAAAAATTATTATATCATTTTATTCTTCTCCAAGAATTTTTCAGGTCGTCTATTTTTCAGATATTAATATTTTAGATATCGTGGAAATACATTAAATATTATTATTAACAATTCATAAGCGAGCAATGAAAGCGAAGGTAACGTGAACTTTACTGCGATGAATCCGGGTCAAGCTCAAAATCTGGCACTGTAAAGTCATTCATGCCGGTGAAAAATCTTCCGTCTATCTCTTTAAGAGATTCTGCTATCTTTTTCTCTTAATCAATATGACTCGGCATCGCAACAAGTTGTAACGCGATTTAAAAACGCGAAGAAAATCATACGACTGCGATATCATTTGAATACACATAATTATATTTATAAATATTCTTAGATATTTACAAAAGTATTGCAATGTAAAGCATATGTAAGTGAATTAATTAGGCTCTAATATAAAGATATTATTAATATTATTGATAAATCAAATAACAATAAAAATTAAATATAAATATAATTAAATATAAAACAAATTAATTATTACAGTTGCTGCCTCAAGTAAGGATTTATCGCTATTATATATTAATTTTTATATAGTTCAATTGTTTTAGATTTTATATTTATAATTGTTTTATACAATTTTAATTTAAAAATTTTAGAGTGTGTTGTCCCGTTAGTATATAATTAAAAGCCTATTATTTTCCCTTACTTAAATTTTAATTGGAAATATTTAATTTACACATTTTCATGTATTATTAAATATTAATTAAAAAATATTTTAGGTTTTTTTCTAAAAAATCTATTAAGCCTTATTATTCATTTTTTTTTCATAAATACACATGAATGATATTAACAAAGATCAAACCATTCTTAAACGTAATTCAAAATACACCCAAGCTTCGAATTGCGCCGAAGCGACCCTCGCAGGACTTTTCATCCCCTTTTATTCGAGTGGAGTCTCTCGGACAGCGAGATGCGGCGACGACGACGCCTGCGCGAGAATAACGAACGATTTCATTCTCGTTTACGTAGCAACCCCTCGATAATTGGCGAACGGTTCGATAGATAGGAGCAGTTGGTCGTAATAAGCAGGAACATCATTAACACAGAAAGCTTTCCCGTGTCGGACGAAGATGCAAAGCATGTAGCTGTAATTTATGTTGCCGCTCCCAGTTTCAAGCCAATCGCCAAATACGAAGATAACACCTCCCGCCATTCCGTCATGAGATTTTTCCGGCGTCATTATTGATCCTTGGGAGACCGCCGTTTACCTTGCTCCTCGAAACAGCGGAACTCGTGGCTGGAATTGGGTCAGGGCTAACTGAAAGTGTGCCACGTCCTATTTCCACACAACGTCCCTCGGAACAGTTCCTTTATGGAAAACTCATATTTATGCTCCTCTCGGAAATATATCGCTTTACATATGTTCACGGTTATAAGTACAAAGAGATTTCTCGTTGATACGTATGGTAAAAATACGTATGAATCTTAATTTACGATATTAAAAATAACAGAATAAGATACGAAGGGCAGAGGGAGCTATTTGAAGACTATCAGTAACATAAAACAACATCGATTTATTCAACACAAATACTTGCACGTTATGATAGAGGTTTGTAGTAATGTATATATATAATGATATAGTAATATTTATATATACACGAAATAAGGCACGTTCGATATTACATTAATTAAACGCGCGACGAGCGCTGTGCGCGGAAAACGTTGTTCCGGCATTGATCGCGTTTTTTATTACTATCAATCTCATTTTCCATCCTCTTACGATATGCAACGTCCTTACCAAACGTAGAAAATGTCATATATAGAATCTGTATAAACTTCGTCGATTTACACTCGCGATTAATCTGCTCGCGTCGGTCATCAAGACTGATAATCGCGAAAAGCGGATTCCCTTCCCGAGATTATCCGCAACGTACAATCCACACTTCCTAAGCTATTCAACGTGTTTTGTGTCTCGCATTGGCAAAAATTGCGGTTTCGAGAAACTTGATTAGCCCTAAGATGAAAACCGCTAGTTAGTCGTATCTAATTAAGCACACATTCGTACACGAGCGTACTAGCGCAGACTCGCAGCTTCTCTCTTTCTCCCTCTCTCTCTCTTTTCTTTTCTCTTTATCTTCTTTTTTCTCTTTTTCTATGGAGTTTTTTTACGTAATTAAACATATGTTAACGCATTCACACATTCACTAATTGCACGCGAAATCGCAAATTTGAACGCGACGCAGTTTTATTTTGTCCATGAAAAGTGCAAACCGCAATTTCCCATTTTCGTTGCGATTTCTAAACATCTCATTTGGCTGATTTTAATAGAATATGTACGTTTTAACTTTTTTTCTAATTTTCTTCTTAAAAAAGATGTATAATATTTAAATAATATATAATATTTAAATTTTGTTTGCCATTTTTTTTTCTTCCTTCTTTCTTTAAGAAGTATTAAATATATATTTTTTTACAAAGTTTAACGAAGAAGAAAGAGATATGTATAAAATTGCATTAATCACGAAATTCGTAGAAAAATTACGAATGACGCAAATTATTTCAAAATAATAAAAATCGTCGACAATTGCCATATGTATTTCTAGATATGTAACGATATCTACGATTTTGTTGGCACGCAAAAATCATTTTTGTTGTATCTTAAACTAAAATACCTGAAAATGTGTCGATAAAATTGTCAAACTACCCCAGACATAAATAATAAATATTTTTCAGGAAAACATTATGTAAATTTGCCAGTAATTAAACTGTATTAACAAGTATAAAGACTTGTTAATAATTATAATTTTTTAATATAAGAAAATTGTGTATTCTTTTACGTCGACTCCCATTCGTGATATGTAGTTGAAATTATAATTAAAAAAAAACTCATTGGTCTTTATAAAAGTATAAGTGAAGTATTCATTAGCAGATTTTACACATTCAATTAATCGCTGTTGCGTAATCACGAATCATTCGCGTCAGCGAAAGCGAAGATAAGAGAAGTTTACGGATCAATAGTTCATACATATTCACACATTTAGAGAACACTTCCTTCCATTTACTTAGGCAGTACTTATATCCTGAACTGGCATCAAGACACCATATCTTACACGAATGTACAAACAGGATGAAACAATTTGCCTGCGTCTTCGGAATGTTTCGTCTCTCCTTTTCCTCTCTGCGCTCTTTCTTTAAAATTACTTACAAATATCTAAATTAAAAACTAAGAAAAAAATGCTTTTCTTTTTCCGCCAAACGTCGCCGTCTTTTATCCTTTCGACGGTTCTGGAATGCAAACTTTATATCCGAAAAGAGTGTAAAATAAGAAAGAGACTACATTGAGCGATCAACGAATGCCATCGCGGATCATCGAATCGTCGATTGACGCAATATGACGCAATATGATATACATTTAAAACCTAGTTTAATGTGTGAAATAAGGTTAATGATTGATCGAAATTATCGTATACGTTTTTTGCGATAAAGTGGATAAAACATAAAGATTTGTCGTTTCTATGATAATAGATACGAATAACTACTATCTTAAAAATTCCTCGAGTATAAATAAAATAAATAAAAAGAAATACGTTAAAATTAAAAATAAACCATTTCTAATTGCGGAATATTTTGTGAGCCGTTGCGTGAGAACAAATCCAGTTATTTTAACGCAGCTTGCGTTAAGAGAGTTATAATTCCTATCGCATTTTTCTTTCAAACTCGCACATGGCACTTTGAGTTAATACAAAGGTATAAGTGCGCAAATATCGTCTACGATCTCCTCAAATCATTCAGCGCACGCGATTACAGGTTTTCTTTAACGTACTCGTTAATCGTGCCGGAGAGTTTGCCACTAGAGTTAGAATAAGCTTACAATGAGAATATTTTAAATTTGGCACTTGATGCTTTCTAAAAGATAATCATGCATTTGTTCAGACTTATTGAAGACATTTTGGAGTTTGTTCTTGGAAATTGTATAGCTAGAATCCGAATCTCGGTGTCATTTTTCTCACTCCAAGCGCATCGCGAAAAGCAATACTATGTCGTCCCAGTCTCACGTAGCAAAGAGGATACCGTAGAATACAAATACACATATTATATACATATATATATAAATTAATATAGAAATATATGTTTACTTAATGTTATACATAATATATAAATTATATATATAAACATATATATATTTTATTATATATATATATATAATCATATATTATGTGTGCGATGCCCTCTTTGCTACATTAGACTGGCGTGAAGAAAACGGCACCGAGATCTGGATTCTGATTATAACATAAAGAGAAAAAAAATGTGTTCACATATAATCTCTTAACTCGTCATCTCGACGGACAATCGACGATTCGCAAGAATATATCGATACGTTCCTGCGATGGCACCTCGCTTCCTTGATACTCGTGGAAGCGCGAACGATCAGCGAACGAAAGTGACGATCGAGAGCTATTCGAAGGTCGATACCATCACGTTCGTTCGTGATCCTATCTGAGCCAATTTTTCGCAATACTTAGGGCAACTAGAACTCAAGTAAAACATCACGTGGCTCTCAGAAGTTATTCTAATTAAATGCAATTTCTTGAGTAAAAAATTTTCTAAGTATATCGTCCTCGCAAATATTTCGTTGCGCGATCCTCTTCCGCTTCGTTCCCCACACGTTTGATCTCGCCGATGAAATGACAGACGAATCATTTCGCCCAATTGTTTCTCGACGAGCATAAAGTAATCGCGTGGAGCTTGCCTCGATCCTTCTGGAATGGTTTTGTAGGAAAATTCTTGATATTTCGGAATTGCGAGATATTTATCTGCCGAAGCGAGTCTTGGCGATCGAATATCGTTTCCCTGGCAGCCAAGATCCGGCGATCTGACCGAGATTGTTGTGCGAATGACGGCGCGAGAAGGCGTGGTATCACAGCTTCGACGGGTCGTAATTCTCGAAGGACCATCTCTGTCTCGGTGCATTGGGTGAGCATTCTTCCATCACCAGTTGCTGTTTGCTCTCCGTGATCGCCAGACACTTGTCGCTGCTGCCATGCCTGATGTGATTAGTCTGGAAAAATGGAATCAGAAAGTCGATTGAAGTTTCTTCCGAGGAGCAGTTTGAAAGAACCACTCGAAAGAATTAATTTTACAAAAGAATCGAAGACAATCCATTACCTGAGGACTGTAGATCCACTGTTGATTCCCTTTACTGCCGTGGCAAGGATAGAGAATTACGTCGCTACCGCTGTAGTCCAGGCACGATTCATCTCGACGGATTTCACCCGTCTTGCTGAGCATCCAGTACTGCAAAACAAACAGCCTCTATTAATATCCTCGAATTTTGACATTTATAGGCCTGCCTATTCGATGATTCTGGCATACGCCGTTAAAATAACAATATTGCGCAAAAGTTTGCCTTTAATGAAATTGATATGTACGGGAGCATTTGACTATTATACGAGCAAAAGTGAGTTTAACAAAAGAGTGAGCGGTTTTTAATAAATTCCTCTCGATAATACATTTTTTTTACAAAGCGTGCGCGCTCGCATTATTGCGAATCTATTTACCTCGGAAACAACGATATTTACAATAGCGGCAATATCCGCGACGCGTAAACCGCGGGAACGCAAAACACCGTGAAATTATCGGGATCTGCGTTTATAATCTCATCGCATTGTGTGTTTGCGGCGCGCGAAAATAAGCGTCATGTTCTCGCGAGGGAGATTATTATCGCGCGCGGCGGCTCCGGGTAAACGCGGATTTTCGCGGTGTTACAGGACAAGCGGATCAATTTGCACGCCCGGCACGTAAAATAATGTGTCACGGGTGTGTGTGTGCGGTTAACAGTTATTTACCGCGGGCGATGCGCCGCGTCGGTCTAGGCTCGCGCGAAGTCGGAGGACGCGTCAAAGCGAGCCCGGACCATAATGAACGGCCGATAATCGAATCCAGTGGTCCTCGAAATTACACTCATCTGACCGCTCGCCGCTCGCTGTTTGTGCAATTCCAGCCGCGTGGAACTGACAGCGAACCGCGGCGTGTCGATCCCCTCCTCTCCCATAAAGGCGACTGACCCTTGAAATTTTAAGCGACTCCGTTTCGCGGATCGTCGAAGCGAGATTCAAAGGGCGCGAATTTACAGGTTGACGAGACGCGAGAGTTTATTTCGGAGGACAATTGAAGAAAAAGAAAACATTAGAGCTAACAAGAGATAGGGATAATGCAACGCGTATGTGTGAATGAACGGGGAGCGACAGTTCGTTACAGATCTGCATATATTCGCGGTCGTAATTATCACTAATTTAATAGCGGCAAGCGGCCGCGGACTATGAATTGGGACTGCGGCTGTCAGAACCATCGAGTCGAATATAGTTGTTTTCAAGTGCTTTACAAGTATAATTAGGGATAGTGGACACGGGATAACGAGAAGCAAGCATTCACCGCACACATGCATCATCAAGCATCGTTAGCCATGCACGACCCGCGTTCCATTCTGCCTGAAATTCTCAAATCAGAGCGTGTTATATTGCGCCGTCTGTAGTATGATACAAATATGATACACATGTCATACATTCGAAACACACACACACACACACTTGTCTTGTTGTAAATCGCATGCTTATCTCTACAAATGCGCTATTTTTGTGCTGCAAAAAAAAATAAAGTAAAAAAAAAATGCAGTAGAATGAATAAACGGCAAAATAGTCATCAGTTAAATTGGAATTTGAAAAACGCATGCATCAGTTTAGTCTGTGTGTGTGCATGGTGGACGATCGCGGACCTCGTAATTACGGCGTGACACGACGCGATGTTTATATCGTGATTCCCGAGCGCACATAAAGCCGATGATAATTCTGTACACGCGCGTAGTAGTCCAGATACGCGTTCGAGCCGCCATAAACCGACCATTCGGCGACCGCAACTCGGCTATCTCGCGCGATGCACTCGCCTCCCATCCGATGATACGATTATTCGTCTTCCATCATTCGCGATCGCAACTGATCCCGGATCATTGCGCGTCCCCATCGATGGCACCCTAACGCGATACGCGGGGGTTGCGACTTTATCAGCGTCACGCGGGTGACGACGATCGAAGGTGTAATTGCCGTGAAACCGCGGCTTAATTGCGAGGACCAACAGCTAAATTAAAGCAGCGCTTTACCAGGCTAAGCAAGCTCCGGCCGATTGTGTTTTTGGTTGTCCAAAACCGGTTGCCACGCTTGTTAAATGTCGGCGTTTCCACAGGTGCATGCGTGTGTGTGCGCGCGAATCACGGGACCAATCTGTGTGTACGTTCTCTATTTCATGCGGGCTTTAATGATAGACCACGCGGTGACCGACCGATGAGTGCAAGAAATAAGATAAAGTCGAGTGTAAGCTCGAAGTTGCTGTTATTTTCAATGTAAATGTCGCTCTTATTATTAATGCAATTAAAAGAAATGCGAAAATAATTACTACTACCAGCCTTTTTGCATACATTATTTTCTTAAGGTAAAATTATACCATAAAATATAAGGAGGACGAAGCGTTTGAAATATTTACAGCCTGTTCTCCTTTCTTGATTCTTGAATCATGGAAGGCCGAGAAAAAAAATCGATGATGAAATAAAACTCGATCTTACACTGTATCAACGTAAGATATAACGAAAATCCGTGAATAGCCGTGCCAAAAGGCAGCGATCGAGGTCATCGCACCGAGAGGTAGTAGGGACATGGATTGATGGGCACCTGCACCAGATTAGCGAGGCTACTAATCGCGTCGAGACGCAGGGCGATTAGTGGCGAGTTAGCGTGCACGCGAGCGCACAGGTGTTCCGGGAATCTACCTTCGTACGAGTCGCATTGTATCTTTCGACTCCAAAGCCATAAGTTAGACCAGATGCATCTGTCACCCATCCGTCAACCGGTTAGAAAAGCCACGAAAGATTTTCGCTCGATTTCATTCGATTTTCTATCGTTTAATTCGCCATTCGAGATTACATCGTCGCGGCTTTATTCGTGTACCTGATTGCCGCCTTGACGGTGACAGGGATACAAGCCCACCGGCTGATGCAGGTCTTCCGATTTCCCAGGTGAATCAATGCATATTCCGCTAGCGATCTGCCTAATCTGCGTTAGAAAATTCAACAGAGGATTCAACACGCATTATTGGCAGGTAAAAGACTCGCTATTACTCACTCCGTGTTTCGTGCGAGCGCACGATATCGCCGCCTATTCGAGAATCCAAGCAGCTGGAAGCGCGAGTAAATACATACATACATACGCACAGAGAGGCATACGATTAGGTACTCGATCGTCATTGGGGAAATGATAGCAGATCGATATCAGCAATGAGACGGAAACTCGATTTTCTAGTAATTTGCTATGTAGCTTCGATCGGAACTTCGCGGTGAAATTATGGGACGCACATTTCGAAACGAGCGATCCATGTGCGTTGTTTAATCACGCAGAATTATACGATAATAATTAGGCTAAATACCAAACGTTCCGCGCTAACAAGCACTGGCGTTCGCTGGTTGAAAGCTACGGACAGTCTCTATATTGGCTATTGTTATCACAATATTACTAATATACAGTTCACCAAACACTTGTATAAAAATTTTTACCGACGTATCTTTTAATCAATAAAGTCACTAAAATTTAATTATTATAAAGTTTTGCCACTTTCTATTTATATCACGTCAGTTGTCAGTTTTGACATTGGCGTGCAATAAAAACTGTTTGTAACAGGCGTTTCGATGTCTCGAAACTTAGTTTCAAACCAGCAACAGCGAATAAAACTTGAAGTCAAATGAAATTTAATAAAAAAAACCGTGTTTCCGTTTCAAGTTTTGTATGCGCGCACATTTTCACACATCAAGCGCAGACGGGCTTTTCGCGGGATAGCGTGCTTTGTGACGAAGGAATTTCTTCGCACTGACGATGTCTATTGTACCTGATTTCCACCCTGTCGATGGCAAGGGTACAGTCCGCATGGCTTGTGCAAGTCGGCCTTGCGAGCGGGCGAATCCAGACAGGTGTTCCCGCCCTCGCCGAGATTCCGGACCTGTTTGTTGTTAGTAATATTTTTGGACATTAGTGTCTACCCGTTGCACCGTTAGTAAGACCCAAGATTTATATATACATATTAATATAAACAGATTATGCATGTATATTTATATAATATTTATCGTATTTAATTAATTGGGTCGAGAGAATAATTTTGTGCTTTAATTCAAAAGTTTTGAAATGTCAAATCGAGAAAATAATATTTATGGATATCAAGAATATATAAATGCAACATCAATGATTATGTTTTCCTCTCTCAAAAAAATGTATTATTTTCTCCACTTGACATTTCATCATAAAACTTGCGAATTAAAATGGAAAATTATTCTCTCTCGACCGAATTAATTAAATACAATGGATATTATTTAATTCGAAACGTCGACACAAAGACGTCGACGTTGCTTTGCTTTAATAATGGCGCATAAAAATATACGCCCAGACGACATAGATCGCATCTCTACACCTGAAAGATAATTGGATTAACAGAATTGTGGATTATGTGCACACTTTGGGAACAAGATTCATTATTTCGCGTATTTCTACTACATGTTCCCATATTTCGCAAGAGTTCTCCGATAGAATATGGAAACGGTACAAAGCCAACCTCGCTCCGTCGCGCGATTCTACATTTTTTTCTCGTTCCGAGAACAGATTTGTTGCATGCTTGCCGGGAAAGCAGGACCGCGGACTGCGTTCTCCATTTTTCAAATAGACGAAAACAAATCGAAAATGAGGGGTGCTCGTATTTTGTTCGGTCCGACGTGCGTTCCGCAACCGAACTTGGCGGCGTCTACGTGTGCGTCTGTGTAAAAACACACCCTGCATATATGTATATATGCATTCACATATGTACATACGATCGCGTATAACAGCAGGTGCATTCGGAGCTCGGTCAGCAGTCCTGATTTCGCTGCATGCAAGAATTCTGTGGTCGTTGCAGTTTCAACGTGAACATCTTTATCCCCTTCCCCCCCTCCTCGTTCTCCTCCGACGTAGGAGGAATCGTCGTCCTCGTCGGCGTTCCTCGTCGACTGACTGGAATAAAAACTTGTGATTTATAGCCGGGTATCCGGTATGGGGGTCGATAAAATTTCAAAAGCTCCTGGCTCCGTCGACATTATTAAAGGCGACTCGAAGGCTCTTAGTGAACTCGACAAGTATGTGTGATATGGTATTTAGACAATTTTATAGTCTCGACTCGAAAGAAGTCGGGGAACTCGGAATAATATAATGCCGTGGAAAGTCACGTATTTCGGACATTTTCTGAATTTCATACCTCGTTACTTTATAATCTGGTGAGAGATGTCTTCTTCGCTCTTCCCGGCAAAATTCTGCTTTCATCCATACGTGGGAAAAAAAGTAAATCTCAATAATATTAACGGCGGTTACGAGAATATTCAGAGATATCAAGAATACCGTGGGAAGGATATACGTTCGATGTGAGATCGCGATGGTTGAACCAAGCTCGCGTTTTTATGCATCTTATGCGATTTTGCATGGGAAATCCATGCAGTTCGCGTAGAACGACTCAAAAATCGCGTATACTCCCCCGGAGAAATATGCGCCCACCTCGTGCACGTACGTAGAAACACGTGCAACCGAAATTATTCACGTCGTGTACGATTTTTGGACCGTCGTAGAGTGTGAACTATAAATTCAGTCATCCCTTCTACGATAGGGAAGCCGAGTGTGATTTAGACGGTTTTTCAGAAGCAAATAAAGAGCAAAAGGAAGAGAGAAGAAGAGAGGGGAAAACAGTAAAGGACGACGAAAATGAGAAATTCGAACAGATAAGTAAGGATATAAGTTTTACCTTTGCACGGATGAAATTGTCATTTTGCGACGCGAAAGGAATTTTCGAAATTCTCATTACACGGATTTTATTATTATGGAACCGCCAATTAACTCATAAAATTATTAAAAAATATTAAAGCTTAATTTATTAAAATTATTAATAAAATGATTAGAACTCTAATTTCGTTAATAAACCTGAAATTTCGAATATATCGAATTATTATCTGTCTTGAAAAATGTGCATCCACATCGAAAACTACCGGAAAGAATATTGATTATTTAATACAGATCATTTCTGCATATTTCATATATATTAAAAATTCCGCAAGTTATTGAAGACTAGGAATCTATAAATTTATATTAAAATATAAGATACAAAAAGAATAAAAACAGAACAAAAATTATATGTACAAATTAAATCATTTCCAAATCTTTTCGAGTTTATTTTGGAATAAAAGAAAAGATAAATCGAAAATTGTTAATCTACAATTGAACGAGGAAATAGCAATTCGCAACGACGTGTATAAATCTCCATGCCCCTTTCTATTTTCCTATAATGCGTGCAAATTTCCTCGACGTAGCGACAACATAAAGGAGAGAACGGTCGCGTGTGAATAATCCAAGATCGGAGCAAGAACATCAGTTCACGTCGGGCAACTTAAGCGACGAAATGGTTATTTTCATGACGCGAACGGCATTCCAAAGTGCGCGGCCGCGTAAACGCTTCTTCGCGAAAATGTACGCGCCCATCCTTTATATATTCCTCCTTTTTCCATCGTATTTTTTTTTTTTCGCGAAGCTCCCTCTTGGTTTCCCTATTCCGCCCACTCGTGGATACCGATGTATCAGTATGCTTGGACAGAAAAAGAAGGAAGGGAAAGAGGGGGAGAGGGAATAAAAAGAGGAGAGTATAGCAAAACGCATTCCTTGCCCCATCCTGGCGAAAACGTGAGTGGATCGCAACAAACGACAAGGAGGGCAACGGGGGTGAGACGGGGTGAAAAGAGGGGAGCTGGTCGATAGTATCCGAGCCGCCGAACTATTCCGGATTCCGTTGCTTTTTATTATCATGTTCGATCGGAATATTGCCTTCGAACGGTGGAACGCATGTGCATAGCGTGTGTCATGTCGACAGCGGCGTGAAATTGTGATTCGCGAGAAACGCGGTACATCATGACCAGCGGTTTTTGTCTCGCGAACGCGACAGAGTGCCATAATTTGCGTTACGCACGAGCATTTGTTTCAACGTCGTTCTATCTCTGTCACCAAAATCGTATATATCGTGCGCAAAATAGAGCGCAATGGGATATGGAGAGGAATGGGCAATCTGTCATTGTCCTAATTTTCTTTTTAAGAGCACGCATTAAAGAGTAAGAGTTACAGATTCGAAATACAAAGGGCTGGAAAAATAAATCGCTATCGATGTAGACGCTCCTGATTACAATATTAAATGTATCTTGCAATAATAAGATTAAGAATTTTATACTTGCTCGCATCCCATTTTTCTGTCAAAATGAAAGTCTAAATGTGCGCTGCCCTAAAAATTTTTTTTATCGTATTAAATGTACTATATATCAAGAATAACATGTGAAAGAAAGACAAAAATTCCTATGCTCTTTTATAGATAAATGCCCTTTTCAGAAAGACTAGTGTTTTTGTTTTATAGGACGGAATATTATTTTTAGCGGATGTGCTAATATTTATTTTTCGAGTTGTGATTGTCAATAGAATGATCGTTTTGTAAAATACCCTGTCCTGTACGTCTTCGCCAGATTTGACAGACTGATCGTAGAGTGTACGAGTGATATGCCATCGGGGGAGGTATGATCTCCGGAATTATAAAAAGAAAAAATATATTTCCCCGATAACACACGAAGCAACGAGTCACTCGCTCGAAACTTACTCCGAGTTTCCGGTACAGCGAACTTTAGTACGCCCGGTTATCTTGTACGGCGTGCACGGAGATAGTACGAGGACTAAGATGATCCTGATACGAGAAATTCAAGTGAAGTGTGAAGATAACGAGACGGGTCGAGGCCGTGCACGGGCGTGAAAAAGAGACGATCGGGGGTGAGAAAGAGCGCGCGGGAACCGGAAGGGAGACAGAGATAAATGAAAGGGAAAGAGGGCCGAGCACGAAGACACGAAATATTTGAGTCGCGTGACACTATAACGCGTAAAATGCAAGCCGAGATTTAACCCTGAAGAACGCTACGGTCTCTTTTATACCGGGTGAGATGATTACCCTGGCTGGGACAGGATAACAGAATGCATTATTCGATAACGTCATGATTAATTTATAACGTAATCGAATTGTATATCGTCAAGTCGATGAAATGTTGTGTGTCAAAAGATGTTAAAGTAACATTTCGCTAACGAGATAGATAGTCGGGTTATAAAAGCAAACAATTAAATTAATGGAACTGAATTTTGTAACGATGCGAATGACTAAGTGCATCACTCGATCATAAATGATATACATCAGCGTATATATGAATTTATATTTTCGTTATATTCCTGTCGAGTTCTCCTGAGCGACGTGTCCTACTTACTCCAAGTTTACATTTTTGCCTGAATAAAAAGCCCGGGGAAAAAGGCTTTACGCTACAAGTGTTTTACTTTCTTCGCGACTGCGTTGAACACTGCGTTAAACATGGGCGCACCGGGCGGTTACAGGGTTAATGCACCGCCCCGGCTTATGATAAAATTAAAAGGAGCAAAAGGAAATTTCGGAGAGGAAGAATGATGAAGTATGAAATATATGTGTCGCGTGACGCTGCAATTTATTCGTCGGTGCAACGTCGTTAATACCCTGCTGCCTATGTACCGTGACTTTGTCACACGCTACGTGCGAAGAGAGTAACGTGTAACGATCCCGCGGATGGGCTGACGCAAGGTATACAACTAGGAAGGCGGATTTATTCCCGACGATGTTTGCAATCATTTCGCAATTACAAACGCAGCAAAATGGTGCAGCGGCGACGGTGACTAACACACGACAAAAATAAATTGCGAAATAACTAACAGTCTGCCACACGAATCGCGTATATATTCGTCGAAATGAATTGATTAATAAAACATGTCAACAATATCGGCGGCGACGACGCCGATAAAAGATTGATTAAACGCGGTAACTGGGATTGGAAACAGCCGTGAATAAATCTCGCCTGGATAAATGGCGCGCAATATCGAAGATAAATTTCGAGATTTGCAACATTGCTTATCAATTACACATCGCACGCGTGAGCTTTCATAATTATAATTAAAATATATTTATAAAGTATAATTATAATTAAAATATTTGGCAAGATTCTCTGAGGAATTTTTTTCCCCTCTCCTTTTCCTCTCACGAACGGATGTTACGATTTAGAACCCATTTCCCGAGGTAACGACGACAATATCGTCATCGATAATCACGACGGGATCCGACAATCATTCCGCAATTATGGATGCACCGAGACGGAATGTAGCAGGAGGAGCCGGAGGCAGGGGGAGGGACAAAACACGACGGGAATAAATCTTCCGCGTGATTGATCATCCGTCATGAATACGCCGAACGATATTAATGCACTATCAGTCGTGGTGGGTTCGCGCGGATGGCTCGCGTGTACCATGCGTGTAGCTTTGACGATTCTATCGCTCGTCGCCCGATATTTATGCGCTCGTTTTTTCGCAAACGGGAGGGTCGAGGTTTGCGGGAAGAGGGAGGGGAAGAAAAACGACGAATTGGCAGATCCCGCTTGAAATTTCGCGCACGCCGGGATATAACCGCGTATAGCTCGCCACTCTGTATAACGTTCTCATTTTTCTTCCTTCTTCGTTTCGCTCGCCATCTCGTCTCTTTTTCCTGATACCGGATATGGAGTCCGACGATCGAGAGTACCGGAAAATCTGGCGGGGTATAACGAGTACAAAGAACGATCTAATCGATCGGCTAATAAAGTTGCAACTAGATATCCAGTGAGAACTGCGTTTAAAAAGAATCGAGTTAGAATTGATGAAATACGAATTCACAAGATCGATATTTCTTTTCTTCTCGCAAAACAAAATTATCGCAAGAATAAGATTTCTCGCAATTTATATACACGATAGAAATATAATTACATTTTTAATCATATCAGATAGAAAAGCGTACAGATAATTAATACTGATGCTGATACAGATTCCGATTATATTCGCATGTCTGACTATATTCTACTTGTTCCACTGGCAAATATAATCATTAGAATTTTTTAATGATGCTGATTATACTCGCATGTCTGGCTATATTTTACTTCTTCCATTAATGAATATAAACTTCCATTCAACTTAGAAAAATTACGTTTGTATAAACGTGAGAAACAGTACACGAAGATAAATATTCGAAGATAAATTCGGATTGCTTTTATTAAAGAGTGAAAGACAAGTTCCGATCGTGAGAGGATTTGCTCTGTAATTAAGATGCATCGACAATGCGAAGGCTAAGAATACCAATCCGTGTAAATCGATTTCCGATTGTATGTCGGGCAAGCCTTCGCCCGCGATCCGATCACGATTACAGCGACCACGACGCACATTGTTTCGCAATCAAAGAGGCATTGTTTCCAGCGTCGCTGGAACGTCCGTTGACATCGATCAACACCTCCGCTGCCAATATTCGCGAATGCGAAAAAAAATATAATTAACAAAAGAGTGAGGTTTTATCGCTTTGTAATCTTTAAAGTTAATTTGTCGAAACCATTGCGCGTTTAATCACTCACCATTGGAAAAAGATCAAATTGAAAGAGATGTGTAGAAAGCGTTCTTCTTCAGCAAAAATCTACTGGCATTATATGTCATCGCGATGGAAGAGAAATTCGAGACTTTTAGAGGAAATAATATAAAGGAAAAATAATTCGACACATTTTCGGCGACTCCATCTATCTAATCGACTACATTTCCGCTCACGAAAAGCCTTCGAGTGCCGTAATCCGACACCCTGATGGATCAAAGCCGCGGTAACATCGTTAAAGGAGGAAAGTTCCCTCCTCGTCGTTTCCGCTTTCCTTTCTTGATTTCGGCTGACGGTACGCCTTGGACCGTAATGTCAATGTCCGCTAAAAAAAAAACCTTGAAGAGAAAAATGTGGAATAGTCTTACCTCTCCTGAGGCGACTGCCTCGCCTGGAATGAAGAGCTCTGGATAAATATTGTCCAGGTACCACTTGAATGACTTGCATCCCAATTTCTTCCTAAGAGTCTTTCGCTCCGATACGTCACCGTAATTTCCCTACGAAAATTCAATATGCAACCAGATCGAAATCATGCTTACAAAGATGAAAAAATGAAATAAATATATTATAATAATAGAGAAATAATTATATGAATTTTTTATAATTGTAAAAATAAATGTGAATAAAGTCAAATTATAACTTGTAAGATTTTTGTATTTTTTAAGATAAGAGAGACATTTCTTAAGAATTTATTATATTTTAAATTAAATTATAGAATAAAAAAGAGATTTTTGATTAATCTAAAGAAATCTGTTTCTATTTTTCTTAATAATAATACATTTTTTTTAAATAATAAAATGCATTATCATTATCGATTATTTTGTGAACTTACGTCTAATCTAATTATTGATATTATTACTGCAAATTATTATAAATAGGAATAGAGACACGTAAGCAAAGAACGATTTATATTATTATTTTATGAAGCCATCCATGAAGACGACATTCTCGATAGATTCGATCATTACATAGAGCGGCGCGCTTACGGAAGCGATTTATTCTCTACGCTTCGATTTATCTCGTCGATTGGATCTCGACAGGAGAGTAAGAGCGGACAAGCATCAAGGATAAATGACAGATCGTTATAGAGGGAGACGAAAAAGAAATGTCCTTCAGGAGAGCGAGGACATGCGCGCGAGTCTTAAAAGCACTTGGCACGTTTATGGCCCTTTTTTACGACGATTCTTGGTCTACGATCCTCTCCATCATCGGCCACCTTTATCGTCATCCTTCATCCTATTCTTATCAAACCGCTCGGCCAATGTTTACGAGCAACTTGAATTAAAAAAACAGCCACGAAGCTTTATCAATGTACTACAACTTGAAACAAGACTTTTATTTGTGGCAAACAATAAATTATTATTAATTATTTCTTTCTTTTTCGTGTCATTCTTGAATCTCTCTACATTAAAAAGATTTTTCTCCGATTCACGCGAATATTTTCATTTCGATATTATATTTTTATTGCCATTTAATCGCAAAAAAATACTTTCTTTTTTAGTTTCTGAGACTTGTATTGATCTGCCAGCCGAGGTGAAACGAGCTACTTTAATTGTTCCCTCGTTGCATCCTCACCTAACGAAAAGTCATATATGGAAGGGAGGCTATGCATGTGACGATGCACAAGTACCCACCTTGTCGTGACCTATCCTCTGATAGTAGTACTTGGCGTACTCGTCCAGCCACACTTCGCTCAGCCTTATGCTGTTCCTCTTGAGCACGTTCACGCCGCTGCGCCACTTGTAGGGCGAACGTTTTCTGAAGATGTGACCCACGTGCGAGCATGGCACGATTTCCAGGGTGCCTATGAATGTATCGAGTTATTAGATTAACATTTCCGTCTGTTTGTTACGTTCCTTGCGTCCCTTCTATTAAGAATCGCACACAAATATAGCGTATGAAACATGTTTCATACAAAACCACGCGCGTTTATTACGAATTAAATAATAATAAAAATATGTAAAAGGAATTATTGTATGTTGAAAGTAAAAAACGTTGATAGGAATTTTTCTAAACGTGATACTTATTTTATTATCAATCTTGTGTCGCATGTGCTAATTTAAAAACTAATTTTCTTTAATTGGAAAGAAACATGAGATTCCTTTCGAATTACTTTAGATTTACCTCCACACATCCAGGTTTTAAACGATAATTCAAGATTTTCGCCGCCCCAGATGTCGAAGCCACTGTCGTACGTGCCGATCCGTTCGAAGAAGGCTCGATCTATCGAAAAGAGGCCACCAGCCATCGTTGGCGACCAAACGGGTTCGGCCGGGTTTTTGTGTCTTTTTTTCTCTCTCTCCGGCACCGCGTGCCAATTAAACTTGTTAACAAACATTAAATGTAGATCAAGAAGCCGTTTACGCTCACAAACTATGCAACTTTAATACAAATATAAATTAATAATAAAAAATAAAAATGTTGCAATCAATAACGTAGACTTTATATTTTGAAATACCAACGCGTTTATTTAGTTTTTGTCTTTTACAAGAAAAATGTGTACGTATATTTTCTTTATAATCGAACTTGCACTACATCTTGAAACTTTTACGAGCGAGAAAATTCAATTGCATTCCGTCAAGACACATTCTCTATCGCTTCGAGCTCGCGAAAGTAACACGAAGATTTCGTTTACCTGAAGATTCCAATCGAATCCGCCGACATTTACGCCGCCCGAGTCGCGCCAGTGGTATTCCAGGGTGGTGTCGTCTATAACATCGATCACCGGACAAACTACCGTTGTCGGATCGCGTGCGATCCGATCCAGAAGAGGTTCCAACCAACCCTCGGTGCACTCGCAATGGCTATCTAAATACGTGAGCACCGGCGCCTTGGCCGCCGCGGCGCCCAGCAAACGTGCCCTTATGAGGCCCTCTCGTTTACTCGCCCTGATAATCCTCACCTTCGGATAATTCATCATATAGTCTTCCAATTGACGTTTGAGGTGAGCTGCGGACAATCGATTTCTTGTCACTCGCCATTTCGCGCGAAATAACACGTTGCAATAGAAAAATATTGCGGTGAGCGCGTGTGTAACGTTAATCGATATATTTAATTAAAATCATTTTTTCCACTCTCCATCAGTTTAATTCTCTATTTACATCCTTCTACACTTGTATCCTCCCTTTCGTTGTATACGTAAATCCATCAAATTTAATACTTTTTATACACTGCCCTCTCTATCTTTAGTATTTTATAGAATTTTTATAAAAAATATCGACATTTTTATTATCAAGTGGTTGTATAATTTATGGCATCTCATAATACGCGAGATGGCATTATTGAGGGAACCTGTCATCTATATAGTACATCATAAGAGATTTACTTAAATATTAAATATTATTTTAAAAGCCCCACAAGTTTTGTCGACATCATCGTTTTTTCCTGAAATTTCCGCCGATTTGAAATATAAATTACTTGCGGAACCTATGTTTCGGATATTGCAATAATAAAATCAAGTTGCCTGTTTCTCCAGGTTTCTCTAACGTCAATTACATCCTTAATGTCGGATTACGGTTTATTTACGATGTCATTCGCAAGCTGTTGCGGCAACAACAATCACCTTTGCCATTCTAAACTCATACCTTAATCACGATCGATTTAATCGTATGCCAGATAGAAACAACGATAATCCCATATAATGGCCTTTTCCTTACATTTACCGGCATCATTAACATTTTATTGTCAACTCGACCAAAAGTAGCTACGATCATGGCTTATAAATCCAATAAAGACTCAAATTAATTTCTAATTCTTTAAGAATACGAAGAAAATGTAGTTTGCAAAATTTAGATTCAAAAGTTTGTTTAAGTCAAGTATATAATAAATAAATTTAGCAAGTCAATAGTGAATATAAGTATCTACTGATCAGAAAAAAAAATTATTACAAAAATTACCTTCTTCATCACATTTTCAATCCTCGTTTTATTAAAACTCGCAAATCCTAGTAGAAAAAAAATGTTTCGTATAAGTAGAAATCGATAAAAATCGCGACTAAAAGCCTCTGTCTATTAATGCCATTTTAGTGGGTGTTTCACGGGGTGGTCTGTTATTTCGCGTTATTTCTGGCAATCATAGGCGAGACTTAAGATTTATGAGATGTATCCGCCTATAGTTACGCCGGCCAGCAATTAGCAGACATTCGTGATTTATTCTCCGTTAGATTGGCTTTATGAGGGACCGGGCCACTAATCCTAAATCCCTATCCCATAAGCTCGGCTAACTATAGATACTATAAGGGGATTCTACGGATCAGCATATTTCGTGCAGGCGCAATGATTACCCAGCAAAACGTACGTGCACTTGAAAACGATAGAGACGTCGGCTAGATTTTATGCACCTTTCAGATAAATTGCGCGCTTGATGAGCTTTAATACCAAGTCATCGACTCTCGTTTCTATCCCGTTATTCTCTCTCTCGGGATTTCGCATCAGCGAAAGAAATTTCCTCTGTGAAATAAGAAATATACATGGAATCATTGTGCGAATCGCATCGGTACGAGTCGAGAAAATATTTCTCTGAAAATACTCGACCAAGTACTCGGAACGAGATGCGTTATCATGGTTAACTGTACTCGAACGAGAAGAGATGGACTGTAAAAGATAAGATCAGAGGTCAGATATTTAATGCGCACGCAATTACAGTGTATATGCACGAATTCCGCGCGCATTCCGATCTAAATTAATTTCTAATGAATTCCTCAAACACAGAGGCACGCATAAACCGACCGTGGCCGTTATTGCAAATTTCATTATGACTTTGCCGAGCACATTGTGAGGCGCAGATAATGGAAACGCTCAAAGAGCACCCAGTCTGTCCTCGTTGAGAGCGCTCATAATTAACTCCGTAATTCTCGTCGCCGATCCCCTGTATAAAAGCTAATTATCGTGCATGCGTTTTGCTGAAGAGGTCTCCAAAGCCTTCTCTTGTAAAATTCATTACAACTTTCTTACAGGCATTATTAATCATTGAACTCACTTTAATCTACTTTCTGCGACCAAAGAGAATAAAAGTTGTTCAAAGTAATATTTAAAGATGTATTATACTGTGTATATTATAATCCACATATCGTTAGAAAGAAATATACGAGCGTGGATGACGAAGAAATGATTATAAATATACGTTAAATTTTGTGTAATAGAGGACGTAATCTTAAATTAAAATCACATATGAAATATGATGTTTTGATCTCATTTCTGCGATAAAGCAATCGTAGTTGTCTGTTAATAATACATACTAAGCTGGGAGATCGTTGAAGTGACTGTGTGTTTATAGGTTTAACTTATGGCCGAGGGTTTATCTCCAGCTTTTAATAGAGAGATCGCCATTAACCAGCCTGACTATATTATTTCTGCCACGTTTTCCTGAATCTGCTTAATCTCGGATACCGTTTTTTCTAGGATTTTTATAATCATCTACCTTTATTATACAGTAGAATATTCAACGATTACGATTGTTTCTTCTGCCCATTAGTGCAGTATTTAAAATAATATATTTCTTTTTTTAATTCGAAAGGAAAACATCGCCAGATTTTGAAAATATATATTGGTAAGGTGTGTGTATCATATATATAACATCATAAATAAATAGCTGAAATTATGTTGTCTGATTCTTACAAAATACAGATTTTTTGCCAACGGTAAATTTCTGTGTTTCACTGTAATTTACTGTAAGATTTATAATTTAGATTTCGATTTAACGGCTGCTGTATAAACGTCAATTCATTCGAAAATATACAGGGTACATTGGAGTTATAATTGGCTTTTTGCATACAAACAATGCGCATATTTGAACGCACATATTTGCTTTACCCGAATTCGCAAAACTACGTATTTCGTATACTTTTATCAACTTTTTTCGCGTAAATACCCTTAAGCAAAAACATTTGTTCTGATAGATAAATGCAAAGTACAAAGCAAATTATCACAAATATAACTTTTATCTTTTACACAAACGTACGTAAATAAAAATACGAAAAACTTGGATAAGTAACGATTATTCTTTCGACGAAAAATAATATAAAGCGTTATACAATTTTCTGACTTTTTAAAATTAACAACGTGAGTTTTCTTCGTTAAAAGATATCACAATGACTTAATAATATCTTCTTAAACATTTATCAAAGTTCGTAAATTTTCGATATAATGTAGCGGCACGTGTCCACGCGCGATTTTGGGCAACTCGAACAAACGGGAACATTAAATCTAGAGAGAGTCGGTTGCATAGATTGTATGGAGCTCTCTCGTAATTTTCAGAGAGTCCGTGTAGCAGGTCGAGAGTTTCTCTTCTATTCACGTCGTGGCAATACAGTGGAGAGATGGATCGCAATTAATCGATCTATCCCGAAACTACGAAACACTGTCGCGATAACGAATCACCGTGCTGAATGGAGACGCGGTTGCACGAGCAAGTACGCGAATATAATAGCCCGCGGTCTCTGTTCGTTCTATGCTTACGAATTTTCCGACGTCCTGCCGAGGATTTTTCATCTCTCAACGATGCGGAGCTATACCAGGATTTATGATGCTACGGAACCGATATGCTATTCCGCTTCGATCGCGCATAGAAGGTATTTCGTTTGGAATCCAAAGTACGAGGACGGTTCGTGATGATAACGCGAAAGTAACTTGCATTCGCTCTTCGAAAAAGACGAGATATTTTAAATATTTGTATATATTATAGGCTACGTGACGTGTATAATTTACGTTTAATATAAATTACATGTGTAATTTATATTTCCATTTCCCCTTATAAATATTTACGTTTATACATTACATATATATGTTTCCTATAATTTTTTAAAATATTTTAAAATTAAGCTTTAAAATTTTGAAATATTTTAAAATAAATATGGAAAAATAGCGTTTATTTCGTGATGATCTATTGCAATAATTACTGTTATAATTTAATATATTATTAAGGGAAATTGAAAGATAATAACTTGTTAGTCTTTTATACTTTCACTAGTCAAAAAGGATAACTTACGCATGTCGGAGAAATCATCGACGAGAATGATCTCTTGTATGAGATGCTCTGGCGATCTATCCAGAACGGAATGTACCGTACGTAATAACACGGACCAAGCCTCGTTATGAAAGCAAATAATTACCGCCGTAGGCGGAAGATCCTTCAGGTATCTACCAGGTTCCTTGCACCTGAAACACAATATCAGAATAATCATTGAATTAACAGTTTTAAAACGATTTACAAGTAAAAAACTGCTGTTATTGTTGAAAATATGTTTCCATGCACAAATATTATGCGGACGAAGCAAAATATGTATGGCTCTGCTGGTGTTTCGCTAATAAAATTAGCTTTGATAGTAGATTGCGCAATTGTTTGCGGAGCAAACAGTTATATCAGTTTAGCAAAGTCGAATCAAGTTATTGATCTCTAGACCGCAATGAGGGGAATGATTACGTGGAGCCGATATGTACCAGAAGATATGTCGGGAAAATACGGTAATACGATTAAGGCAGAGAATGTTTGCAGACTGAACGCCCATGAGATGTATACTCGACCGAAGCTTACCACAAAATGAATTCCAGAGATGCAGGATTGCGACTTCCGGACTCCGTTAAACACACAGCAGATCCGTCGCGGTTTATGGATACGGTAAATAAAAGTTTCCATGTGCCTTTCTTCGGATATTCGCGAGAGCTCGAGTTTCTATTTATTAACATATTCTCGTCAAATCCCACGCAATCGTACATTCATTTATTCAATGTTTATGTTAAGCTCTATTTGCAATTTTATCGCCTACTAATATGTTTAATACGTATATACATTTTGTGATTCATAACGAATGCAATTAGCTTTAGTATGGTTACACGTGCTTCATTCACAGATTAATTTCAAGTATTCGTTTGCAATTAACACGTTACATGTTGAAACAGAGAATAAGTACATCGTGCTAATGATGCGATTACGAGAAGTGTCATTCGATAACAGCCGTTATTGTAACGACTATATCTGTGAATAATTTCAATTAACAACTGCCAACAAACGCTCGCTGCACCACGAGAATACTATTTGTCAAATTTCCGATATATCCTTCTGGTGTATCGAAGCGAGTATCTATTCATGAATGAAATCCCTTTATAATCGGTTTCCGTGCCGAGTTAGAGATGCGCTTGTATCACATCAAACATCAAGTTTAACATATCTGTCTGTATATATGTCTGTCTATCGCATTGTAAATAATACAGGAGACACGTAGATAAGTTTAACATGAAGAATGAAACGGAAGAGTCATCGTAATAATATAATTAAATGGCGGAAATGCAAACGATGATTAAATTATTAAATAGAGAAGATAAGAAAATAGTCAAGCTTTTTATTGAGCAGATCGAAGCAGTTGCAATCTGACACATGAAAAAGGAAGATTATTGAAATATAATATAACATGTTTTCAAGACAAAGCTCTCTCTTTTTCCCTCTCTCTTTCTACAAGGGAATTACAGAGAGAATAAAATTCGTTCCACGTTAATAAAATGTCAAATGGTAACATACAATGAATATTGAATATTATTTTCCATTATTGTGAATAGGTCACGTTTATAGAAAAAGCAAATACTTAATAAATTCTAAATAAATAGTAATGGACGATTTTATACCATATGTCTGTTTGTCTCTCTTTTTTTTCTCTCTCATCGAATTTCGTGTTGCGAAAATTTCCATGCAAATTTATTTTCTATTGCACACAATAGCTGTACAATTTTACACAATTTTATGACTGTACAATTTTACAAAAAACCGCATGTTACAGTCTCTGTACAATATAATAAAACTATTAATAATAACCAGGATATGTCGAAAGTATATATACGGCACGAATTAAAATAATAAAGACATCTTTGGAAGTCTCTAGCTGTTATCTATAAATCCATGAAAACAAAGACATAGGTAATATTCAATAGAAAAAAATCGTAAAAAAGAAATAGTAAAACAATTTAAATAGAGATTTAATATTTCTTATAAATCAAGAAGTATCTACTTCAAAAAATGTGATTTTTAGCGCAAACAATCGATTCAGTATTAATGTCCGTCCTATTTCTGTTATATGTCATTCCTATGTAAGTTTTTATCAGTCTGCAGGTCTGCATTATTGCATCAAATCTACAAGTATATCTGCCAGCTGATGTAAGCAGATAAATAAGAGATTTGACATATATCGTATAAGCTTTATTGTAAAATCATTATTCGAAAATTCGGTACAAAATAGCGCAGTAATTTTATAAGGAAATAAACTGGAATATAAATAGCTTGAAGGAAAGTGTGATTAATGCGAAAATGTATAGAACGGAGCAATGAAAATTTATTGATTTTCATGTATATTCCCTGAAATAATGCTCCAACAGCATAACACGTGCTTCTCAACGTTATCGCACGATCGCACTTATCTGATGTGCTTTAACCATGCATCAGATAAACTTTTCTAGGCTAGAAAAGCGAAAGAGACTCACGAAACTGAATTAACATTATTTGCATTTGCATTTCTCTCGTTTCTGCATTAGTTTGTTTAAATTTTAATAGGAGAGCTGGTGAAAATTTTCATTTTTAAATACGGGACGCTGCGTTTTTAATTTCCAACATTGTCGGTGATAAATTTCGCAGTAATAAAATCTCCGCGCGGAGAAAATTCAACTCGCAGTTTGTCATTATTATCGCACGTAACTCTTGTAGCAATAACACACTTCTTAATCTTCTTTACTATAAGCCACTTTTAATCCCCCGTTATGAGCATCGTTAAGTTACAGCATTAATATAATTAATGTGAGTTACTTGAAAATTATAATGATCGTAATATCACAAAACTTCAGTTAACATCAATTTATAAATTTGTAAATAACATTAATTTATTAATTATTAATCGATTAAAGAGAATCTCTTGCCGTCTGAAATGTTCAATATTATTTCATTATATCAGTATTCAATTTAATACAATGAGTTATTTTATTATTATTCTAAAAAAGGATTTACTCCTCGATACATATTTATACTGCTCGCGCAGCTTGAAAGTAAATCGTAGCAATATCGTTACAATCGTATTAATATCACGAGCGCGCGGCCGCGAATATAAATCGCGCACGGCGTGCTTCGAACAAAGTGGGAAATCGCTTAAGCCAGTAAACGCATCGATCGTTTCCAGTCGATTGACGTTCAACAGCGATATCCTCTTTCCCGTCGACAAAAGAGACCCCATTGTTGGACGGCACTCGGGATGGGTAGCTCGAAATCAGCCACGGATATCGAATGAGAAGCGGCTCCTTCGCGCGTTCAGCACATTCGGCGATCACCCCCTTACAACCTTCCCCTTCCGTCCCGTTGTCATCCCAATCGCCTAAACCCCGCGAGGCGTTGCGCTCGATCAAACGCGTCACGTTTCATACCGCATCCCCGAAGCCCGCATCCAGGATGCTATGTTGAATTCTATTTGCGAGTCTCTTCGCCGCAGGCATCTCGCCTGTGGGGATCTTGACTTGTCTTCGTTCGCGGAAATTGAAGAAATAGGCGTGAGCGAAGTAAGTGAAAGTCGAATACTGTAAAGGAAAGGTGCGTCAGGCTTTAGCGAATGAAAGCTGGGAGAAGAAAAGACGGCCAAGTTACTATTTCATTTATACGACGAGCTTTTTATTATTCAGGTTGAGATTAATTGTAACGTGAAATTTTCAAAGACGCGAGATAGATTCGAGTTAGAAATAGAAAATAGATTCATCGCGTAATTAAGATTTAAAAATTACTGCGACTTTGAGAGTTAAAATATATCTATTAAAGGTTAATAAAAGCTCAAACAAATATAATCTCTGTTTCTGAAAGTTGCAAAAAAAGAGAACTTATAATGGAACTTATTGATCTGCAATATCCAGGCTCTCATCTCTTCCCCTTTACGTACCGCGATACAATGCAAGAAAAACATCTTAAGAACTTGCAAGGCTATCAGAAAATACAGAATGAGATCTACAATCTAATTTAGTTTCCGAGCGTAATTATATTATTAAAGAAAAACTTCTGCCAAGGGCAGCATTGCAAAATATCTGTTTCAGCGTCTCGCAGAGGAAGATAAATGAAAGTTTCGTGAAGCTAATTGCGGTTTCTGTGTGAGCATCCTTCTTGCCTTTCAAGAATCGTTCGTCTTGCGATTATGTTATAACATCCAACGTTAACGCATTCTTTATAAATTACTTACGTTTTCTTTCGTATTTTATATTTCATGAATATACAACATTGTATTTTATTCGAAAGCATGATAAACGTAAACTCAAGAAATTGTTAATCTTGATAATAATTTTTTTTATTTTTCAATTAATAAGAAATAATTAATACCACGACAATATCGCAAGTTTGCGAAATTCTGTTAGCCACGATGCGATATTTGCACAACGTTCAAAAGTAATCCCGATATCTGAAATCGTAAAGCGGAAAAATTGGATGCTTCGCGATATCCCTTGTAAGTTACGCTACATTTGGCACCCTTGGAGAATGGCCTCGAATCTAAAGAATCCAGATACCCGGGGATTCCCCGTCATAAGCGATGGATAAGGGCGCTTTTCTTGTACGAGGTTATAGGACCATCGGGAAAAATAGATCCACATTTTTAAGGAGAACGACACGGATAGGAGAATGACCGGAATAGCGCGAATGGCATGATAAAAATGCACGAGCCGCATAAACTCGAACCCCGAATATGATTTTCGTCATTACGAAGGTCGCACCTTACAAAGTTTCGAGACGAAAATATACTCGGCCAAGTATTACCAGTAAAATCAAACAACAAAAGGGAAAGGCAGCCAACTCCTGCTGAGAATTTATATGAGGAAAGTTGAAATTACTTGGAAGGTAACAGCAGCGCAAAGTCATATCTATTGTAATATGTTATATCCCAAATTGAATTCTACGCTTGCAGTTGGATAACGCAGGATAGCTATATCCACAAATCTCACCTAATGCCCAGTTTTAGCAATAACGAATAATTCATCTCTAGTGCAATGTAAAGAGAAAAGAGGGAGAAAGAGGGAGAAAGAGGGAGAAAAGAAGGGAGTTTCATTACATCACCTATCATTTAAATCACCTAAAAAAAAGGAAGTCGAAGTATAAAGTACATTATATTTAATCGACAAGCTCGAAGTGTTACAATTTCGTTTCACCCAAGTGC